CCGTTTCTAGAGCTGCAGACAGGCCCTGGAGTTCCTAAAAGCCACCAGACCCTCTAGTGCTGCACCTGCTCACCCTGTGTGCTTTGGCAATGAGCTCTATTAGAGCTCGAGCACACACCAGGCTCGCAGCAAAGCCGGATCCTCAACCCACTCATCCGTCAGCCCCTCCTAACTTTCCTTCTCAGTCTTTGCTACTATGGAGACACCCTGTGAAACAAACCTGCCCTTTGAGCAAATAAAAGGTGTGGCCAGTTTAAATAGCCCAAAATTCCTAAACTCCAAGTGCTGCAGCAATGCAGTCATGCTGGCTCGGTAGGGCAGCACACGCCCAGGCTTTATGATCCACCGCTCCCAAGCTGAAATTTAACTACTCAACCTTGAGTTTTCAAGCCATTGCCACGGAGCAGAGAGGCCTTGGCAAAGCTCAAGAGAAATCCTATCAGGGAGAAATAGTGCTGGATGAGTCACCCCAGGAACACAGAACTCATGGAAGGATATTTCTGCCCCATCTGTCAGGGGGGCAGCGGAACACTCGGGTTTAGCAGGAACTCTCCAGGCAGCACAACTGCACCTGAACTGTGGCTGTGCAGAGGCAGCTCCACAAATGGGGTGGCTCAAACAACTGGGCTGGCCCAGCTGGGCACAGCATTCAATGTGTTCTCACAGGAAGCCTGGAAGAGTTGTACCAGAGCCATAAAGAAATAATACTTCCTCTTCCTGCTGGTGTGAGAGGACAGCAAATGCAGCACCAGCATACCTGCGTTTTCCAGTCTGACAGTACCTGAAACAGATGTCAGAGAGCAGAGTCCATCCCCACAACTTCAAAATGTACAGCTGAGTGAGCTCACATGTATTAAATATTCTCTTTTTTTTTTTAACCATCACAGACTGAAGTCAAAGCAGGCCTGAGGTTTAAATCCAGTATTTTCTAAAATCATTTTATTAACAGATACATGACCCACGTGCACAAAGCAGCATGCAGCACTCTCAGGTGAGATGGAGCTGTTTGGCACACCCAGGTGACCTGATGCCACCCAGCAGCCACTGCCATCCCTGTCCCCTGCCACCAACATGTGGTTCCCATGTGTGCTCACGCCTGATGGGGAGGCCACAAGAGCCAGCTTGTTGCAGCCTCTAACTAAAACCATAGGAGGGGACTGGAATTTCCTCACAACATTCTTGGCCCACTGCCTGAAGCCATAATTACTGTTCCCATGGCAAAGATCCTGGCTTCACCACAAATCACTTCTATGCAGTCAGCCTGTATCACACTCCAGCAAAGCCTGTTTTAAAAATTAACTTCTCAAACGCCACACAACTGCACTTTTGGTTTCTGGAAGGGAAATCTTTCAAGCAGAGCTTGACTTAGCCAAGAAACGATGGGATTATTCAGCACCTACACTATTCTGAGACTTTTCCAATCACCAAAATGCAATTTCACTTAAAGAACAGCAACGTGTCACAGTTCATCCTCTCTCTAGTCCTGCTCAGAGTGTGAAGGAACAGTGATATGCAGGGAAATTAAACAAAGGGCAAAGAGACACAACAGAGTGAGACCTTGATCAGACTACTTGCAAGAGGCAACTGCAGGGTCAAAGAGCACCTCAGAGCTCAAACACTGTGCCTCCATCTTAGGGCCATACTTCCTCTTCAGACAGCAGTGAAATTATGAAAGAAGTAAGACTTAGATCATGTGTTTCTGATCTGCAGGACATTCCAGCAGGCTGTGCATCAAGAATCCCCACACCAGAACAGCAATGAGCTTCCTAAACAAATTCATACACTTTAAGCTAAGGAGCCTGGAATGGCTACTACAATTACACCTGATTAAAAACAAGACCATTGGGCAGTACAGTACTCAGAAGAGCAAGCCCTTGGAACACCTGGGGGCTTCTTAAGTTAAAGAAACTAAATTTAATTAAGACCTCGGAAAAATTAGTAAGTGGGTGTAAATACTCTTGATATCTAAATTAAGGATGTGAGAATTTTTTTTTTTTTTAATGCCAGCAGCCTGCCTTTTAAAGCAATAATGCTGAGCAAACTGAAAAAAACTGACTTTCATAAAGTCTTCAAGTTCCAAGTTAAGCTCAGCACTCAGAGAAAGACACCAAGAGGCCACTGGGAGTTTGCTGTGACACATTGCCCAGCAGTGGTTTGAGTCACAGGCACTTTTCCTACTTGTCTGAGCCAGCTTTGGGACATTCCAGTCACAGTATAGATCATGGACAAGGTTACTGGGAGCTCAGTAGATGTCACTGAGCATGGCAAGAGCTGAGAGATTTTGGGGACTGTCATCTTCCAACATCCAAACAAATTCCTACCTTCTGTGTACATACACATCAGGAATCAGTAAATTTACACCTCAGATTAAAAACCATTTTCCAGCTCAGATCTCCACGGGTGACCTGGGAGTTCAGCCAGGAAGGTCTCATGAGCACAGGTGACAGAATGGACACCTCAGTCTGTGCTGGATCCCAGAGCAGGGGAAGCTGTCTGATGTGGCTGACCCAGGCAGAGGATGGGAGCACAGGAGAAGCTTCACTTGGCTCTCAGAAATGCACAGACTCCAATTTATCTACAGAAACCCACGACAGCCAAGTACTAACAAAGGGAATCCTATTACAAGAGCTACACCTGCACATTCAATGACTTAAACACAATCAGACAACGTGGCTACAGCAAAAATCAGTTGAAAGCTTACCTTTACCAAGATGATTCAGCTTTCCTGCTTGCTTCTGCCACTCTTTAAATTTATATTCAACTTTCTTTAAACCTGTCTCGTCGGACTTGACAAGAAACCTCATGTTCCATGCACAATTTAGTCTCACCCCTCCCTACCTGCTGTCTGACCAGCACAATTGTGGGTACAATGCTGTCCCACGCCAGAGGTGAAGGCACTCAGAGGGGATTGCTCCCAGACCTCATCTGACTGCAACCAGGCTCTGGAATCCCCCCAGATGGGTGCAATGAGGCAGGCAATCCCACACCCCAAAATTCCAAGCTTCACTGAGATCTACAACTACAGTTTCAGAAGCTTCCTGGTTAAGTTTAATTATGTAAAACCACTTTTAAAAGTTACAAATTACACATTGTTAAAAACCAGGGGACCTTAACCGACATTAACCAGTTTCCCAGTAGATGTTGTATCCAACTGCTCTAGGGATGCCTTGGTCCACCTTTCATAATGGCTATGAACTATTAACCAACCTTATTGTCCAGGCTCAAGGCTCTCCTCCTCACATCCTACGGCAAACTGAGCTCCTTGCATCAGTCAACATTTTTACCCAAACCAGACACTATCATTAATTCAAATTTGAGATTCCTGCTCCTGAGCAACCTTTCCCCCACAGCTGTTAGAGCCCCTTCAGACCCCTAAAGCACTGCCAGGCTGTCTGTGCTTAACACAGCTCACTCTGTACTTCCAACACAAAGCTCTGCTGGCCAACAGCACCTTCTGTGTGATGCTCCAACCCCATTCTGCAGGGCTGCTGGTGCTCCCAGTGCACCAGCTCTGCTCCACATCAGTCCCTGGCATCACTTCCCTGGCCCTTGTGAGTGGCAGCTCTTGGTCAGGTGCCACTCAGCCTCATCACCAACAGCCAACACACACACAGGGCTGAGTTCACTGCAGTGCTGACCCCAGAGTTACAGCACTGGCCCAGTCAAACCCTAACCCTGGAGCCCCCTCTGGCCTGGCACGCTGCAGCTCGGCGCCGATCCCGGTGCCTGCTGCCACCCGCGGCCACCAAGGAGCCTCTGCCAGCACTCTGAGTCTAGGGCTAAGGCTGCCCTTTCCAAACCTGAGACTAGAAGGGCAAAGGGCATATTTACTGTACCCACAGGAGATAAAAATCAGCTGCTAAGCCCTCCCTTTTGTGGCAGGAGGATTTTTGACATGTAACTGAGCAGGAATTCACACAAACAAAGGAATGGAGTTCTCCAAAGGAAAAGGACCAGTTTCTTCATGGAGAAGCATTGTCTAGCACACAAGTAACAAGCATGGCTTGACATTTTAGCAAGGGAAAGGGCTGTTTCTAAGTGCAATAAAGTTGATCATCAATGCCTACATGACAAGAGCTAAATGCTGAGCCACATCATAAATTTTAAATGCATATGAAACTGAATTACCTTCTGGTTAAAACCGATTTATGTGGTACCAGAAATAACCCTTTACAGCTGAAGATCTACATTTGGTGAGGCTAAAACTAGGTAAAGATGCTGAGCAGTGTAAAAAGAGAGAAAAAGTGAGAAGTGCCTACCTTTGTACCAACTGTTATATCTTGGACAATGCTGTAGAAAAAAGAAAGAAAAGGATTAAAAAAGTTAGATAGGTTTGCCACAAAAATCCAGCATAGTTTACAGTAGTAAGAAAAAAAAGCAAGTCAAAGTGCACAGTTGTCTTTGCAGGTGAGCCAAGGACAGTTTATACAAGGAAAAATTATTAGATGGTGATGGTGGAGACCCAAGACCCAGCAGTGCCAGAAAACTGCAGCTCTCCCACTCCCTATGGCAGCACCTGCTCCTCCTGCAAGGGCACGGGGTGGGGGTGAACCCCCCGAGCCCAGCAATGTGACCTCAACTCTGACCACACCGAGAGGAAAAGCATCACGAGTCAGCTCTGTCACCAACATCCCCTTCTGAGGTTCCTGTCCCCGACACCCACAGAGCCCCAGCAGGCTCTAGCACAGCTGAGAGATCAACACCAGAGCTCCGGTGGTCCCAGGGACAGAGCCCAGCTGTGTCCCAGCAGAGAAGGAGCCAGGGCTCACAGCAGCCCTCATGCCACGCCAGCACTGCCAGAGCAGGGCCAGACCAGCAGAGTGCCCAGAGGTCGAGGCAATCCCAGCCTGGGGTACACCCTACAAAGGACTCCTCTACCAATTCTACAAAAAACTCAATTATTAAACTCCACCTTAGACACTTAAGCCTCCTAAAACGAAGGCGTTTTGATTAGCTAAGATGAAAAAGAGTACCACACCAGATTCCATCAGCACTGAACACTCTACACCACACCACACACCTCCTTACAGCAATGTCCACTAATGCAGTCAGAATGGCTTGCCTGCGGCCTGGCATCTTGGACCTGGGAGATCTTCCAGAGCCTTAGAGCACCTCCATGTTACTGCTTCATGGGAGTGCTCCAGACAGCCTAAGAATTTAGTTATACCCTTGCACTGGTGATTGTATTTTTTTGTAATAAATTCCAACCCCCTGTAAAGCAGCAACACAAAATGCAGAGCAGAAAGGAACCCTCTGGACTGCCACGGACACAGCCCTGCCTGGTTCCACTCCTCTCAAAGAGCTGCCTCTAACTGCAGAGCACAGGATGCAGCAGTGGCCAGCTGACTGACCTGCAGCAGCCCCACAGAGCAGGGGCACACAACAGGCACAGCAGTCCTTAAACCAACAATAAGAAACCTGAAGTACTCAAAACCAACTCTACATGGTGATTTAACGCGAAAAAAGGTGCATTTACTAGTTTTTGTTGCCTCTCCTCCTGCAGCAATTCTTAACTTGCACCAAGTCCTGTCCGACATCGTTGGGCCACTGGAGTGTCCCCAGCTTTACAGAGGAAGCGCAGAGCCAGCTCAGCTCCTGGCAGTTCCTCTTCCCCCAAGGTGCCGTGTCATCATAACCCAGCCCTGCAGCTGGAGCACGGCCGGTCCTGCGGCCGCTCACGCCACAGCTCCGTGTTTTCCAGGGCAGTCCTGGGAGAAGGCCGTGGATAGCTCCGTGTTTTCTGAAGTCCTGGGAGAAGGCCGTGTGTGACAGCCCGGCTGCACTGAGGGTCAGCTCTAATCACTAATGAAACCCGTCTGCATGGAGCACTCCAAGGAGCCAGCATCCCCAAACACACGCGCATTCCGCAGCTAGCATATAAACGCTAATCCAGGCGTTTCCAGAACCTTAAAAAAACTACTGCCAACAAAGCACAGCAAGAGCAGGGAATGCCCCACGCTTCCCAAACTCCACAACTTACCCCAGAGCAGTTTCTCCCACTTCCTGTTCCTCCTGTGGGCCTCTCACACAGGAAATGTTTTACATAAAGTGCCTTAGCAGGGGATGGCATTTAGAAATATGCAACAGGAAGAGTCATTTTATTTGCCAAGAACTGTCGATTCCTGGGATATTGTTGTAACCCACTTGATAACACATTTCACAGGAAACAAGTTTCAGAAGTATTTCAGAATTTTTATTCAAAAAACATGCAACGTATTGCCAGTTCACACACCCCCTCAGTAAATTATCCCAAGCTTCTTTCTCCTGTCCTGCAGCCTCCAGGAGGGGATTAAAACTTTTCCCACTTCTAGAAGAAGAGGCAATAAAGCCCTTCATAAAAAAATATTTTTCCCGTGGAAAAATTGGGATAATTCCTATGCAACAAGAGGAAAAATTAAGCAGCACCAGTAAAACCTCCAGGTCATTTTCCAAAGCAGGACTGCCCACAAGGACTCGTCGCATGTTTTAACAAAGCAACTTATTCAAAGGGGATCATTCGGGCACAGCTCAGGATCATTTTTGGGAGACAGAGATGGGAGCAGCCTTGAGCCAGGGGCCACTCACTGCCAACTCGGCAAAACCTAAAACTATTTTCCGAAGCAGCTTTTGAAGTTTTAGCAGGAGACACTTTCACAGGGCAAACGGATCCTGCACCGGGATCTCCCAAAGATGAGGGGTAACTGAGCCTCGTGTGTTACACTACAACTTCTACATTCAAACAGCAACTACTTTAACACGCACAAAACATCCGCCTTCCCTGAAACTACAGCTGATAACAAACCGATTTTTGCCACTAGAATGTGTGATCTCATGTGCTGAGAATCTGTTGGGTTTGTTGTTTTTTTTTGGTTTTTTTTAATACCATTCAACTCGATGAGCAACTGGTTAAAAGCAGCAAAGCAACCCTAGACTGCAAAAATCGTAAGATACAGTACTTTTTACGGGTTTTAAGATGAAAACAACACTGAGACGCCACCCTTTCAGCGTGTAAAAAAGCCCAGACATGTGACTACGCCCAGACCAGTGTTCTGAGGCAGAAAGCGAGAAGGCACTAATTTGGGCTTCCCGTACTTACGGCTCTGAGAAAACAAACTGCTTACTTGGAGGCCTTTAGAAGTATCTTAACTACTGCTAGCTAGAAGAAACAAAAAACCACATCACTAAAAAAAACCCCACGCCAGACAGGAGAAAAGAAGCACGGAGAGCTCGTTTTCGAGAGAGATCCTCTGATAAAACAGAGCGAACTCTGCCGCAGAGAGGCCCGCCGGGCGGTGGTTAAAGAGCAATCGACGTTGCCCAAGATAAAGTTGAGCTCTGGAAACTCCCAGCGTGCGGAGGGAAGTTTTCTTTCCCGGAGTTGCTCGGGACAGCGGGAGCGGGGCTGTACCTGCGGCGCTCAGGTGAGGCGGCGAGGGAGCCCTGCCCTGCCCTCCTCCCCCCCAGCGAAACTTGGGCGAGCGAGAACCGGTCACAAAAGGAGCCCGGCGAGAGCCCCCCCCCGCCCGCGGAAGCGCCAGACAATGGGAGGGAGCGCGGCCGTGAATCACCGCCCGCCGCCCCGCCAGGTGCGCCCGCCCCGCCCGCTCCGCCCCCGCCCCCCACAGGTATCGCCCCAGCTCCCGGCGCGGGTGCTGGACCCTCGCACCGCGGGAGGGGCCCGGCAGCGCCGCTGGCGGCCCCGGCGCGGCGCCGGGCGGGACTCACCCGTCCATTGCACACGGAGACGACCCGTCGGGAGCGGAGTGGAGGCGCCGCAATAGCGGGATGAGCGAGACCGCTCCGTGTTATAGACTCACAAAATGGCGGCGCCGCCCGGCCCGCCTCGCCCGCGCCGGCGCTCCATTGGCCGGCGGAGCTGTCACCCTGACGGGTGGGCGGGACCTCCCGCCTCCCGGGGTTGGCGCCGCGGCTCCCCGCGCGAATCCGATTGGCCGCGCCCGGGGCAAGGGGCGGGGCGATCCTCCGGTGCGCGGCGCCATTCGGTAGGCGGAGGGAGGCGGCGGGGCGGAGCCACCCTCAGAGCGGGAAGGAGGCTGGGATGACGCCGGGGGCCGCCATCTTGATTGGGGGCACTGCACGGGAGGCACGGCGCTGGGCGCCATCTTGGGTGCGGGCAAGCGGGTCCCCCCGCGTGCGCGTGGCGCGGCCCGGGGCCATGTTGGGGGCGGGCAGGGGAGCCGCGCGCCGCCGCCATCCCGGGTGAGGGGCGCCCGCCCGCCGTGTCCCTCGGGGGGTCGCGCAGGGCCGAGGGGCTTGCTTAAAGTACGGGAGTGTGTGTGGTCGCGGTTAATGTCTTAAGGATAAAGATTACCAGAGGGTGAGAGAGAGAGAGAGATCTTGTGAGGTAAGACGTTAAACGTACCTGCCGGTGTGGGGCTCAGGTGCCGTTGTGGCATTTGGCTGCCCGGCCCAGCTCTGTGGCCCGTCAGTGCAAGAATTAGATCGGCTCGTCTCACTCTTTAATCGGTCACTGCCCGTAGGCCCCGCTTTGTGCCGGGGTTCGTGTGTATTCCAGGGATTTGGGGCTTGTCAAGCCTCTGGAATGTTTCCTTCGCAAGTTTCTGGTGGGTTTCAGCCGAGTGTGGTGGCTTTGTGTGGCTCCTGCAGGGTGATGAGGGCAGCAGCGAGGGTCTGTCCCCACGCCCGACCCTCGCGATCCTGCCCACCGCTGCTCCGTGGATGGAACACTCTTTAAATGTGTATTAATTTATATTAATTATATCATTCCAGTGGCAGTGCTCGGTTCTCGGAGCCTCGCTTGCCGTACCCCACCATTAATTGGTCCGTTTCTAGCTAATTTCTGGTTCTGCCCTCAGCCAGCTCTGCCCTGCCTGCCTTCCCACCCAAGGCTTTTCTGTGAATATATTTAGTAGTTTTGCCTAAGTTCCTCTGCCAGTGATAACCTGTAGAACACCAACACCCGTGTCATACACGGCTGTGTATGTGAGGGCTCAGCAAATTATTTTAAAAACAAGAGTGCAAATGAAATCCCCGGGCAGTGTTCCTGCTTTGTGTCAGGCAGCTCTGGCAGGTACAGACATGCATTTTGCCTTCTCGTGTCTCTCTCAAGCACACACTTGACACGTGAGTAGGGAAGAGAAAAATTTAGAAGTGAAGTGGTCTATTTTCTCTCAAACACGTGTTGCTGTGCCAGGTTTTCTTTTTGGCCAGAGCCCCCATTTCTCACTGGGGCAGTGCTCATCTCCTGCCTGCCTCATTCCACCCTCTGTGAAATGCAGGAGCTTCCTTTGGATCTTTCCAGGAGCTGGGAACTCTGATTTCTTTGGGTTACTGGGCTTCCAGTTTGGCCCCTGTGGAGTTTAAAACAGAGGAAAATTGTCTTCTGACCTATTGCTGTGGGCAACTAAGCCCATCTGAAACCCCTGGCTCCTGCATATGAAAGGCTCAGCTGCTGCCTCAGATAAGAGATTTACAACTTCGATGAGGGAAAGAATGGGAAAAGATGAGATTATAGATCCACTGTAGCTGAGAGCCAGAGAGATAAGGTGATGTGATCAAAGAGAGCAGGAATTTAGCTGCCAACACAAGCTCCCTTGGACTGTGCCTGGTTTAAGGTGTATTTCCCATGGAGGTGTTTCTTCCATAAGTAGGGAATCCCTTGATGGTAGAGGATGCTGTGGAGATTAAATCCTTTTTGTTTTTTTCAGTGTGGGGTATTTCTGTACCCTGAACACCCCACAAAGACTGAAAACATTCATTAATCACTGATCACAGGCCAGGCCAGGGTCTGATTCTCTAGTACCTGCTGAGATGAGTTTATGGCATGTCCAGGTGCATTTCAGGTATCTTTGGCAGAGTAAACAGGTAAATTCCACCCCAGGATTCCTGATTTTCTTTCCAAAGGCCTTTCCTCTGCAGATTTGGTCTGACTTGAAAGGCTCTTTAGGGTTTGTGCAAGCTCACCCTGATTTTCCACAGTCCTTGCAGAAATGATGATTGTGCAACATTTTATCAGCCATTTTCCTGCAATAGGAAGAGAATTTTTTAGACAGCATCTGCTCAGGTACTATGGGACTACAAGTGACCAGTTGTGGCACTGTTGTGGTTTTCTCTGGGCCAAAGGGGAAAATGCTTTTAAGAACAAGATTACACTTGATATGAAAACACAGCAGGGAGCAGGACCATCCCCTGTGTGTCCTTGTGTTTGTTTTGAAAAACAAACCCAGATGAAAATGACCATATGAAAAAAACCAGGAGGGCAAAGGGGAAAAAAATGAATCAGCTTCTTTTGTATGATCCTCCAGCAGAGTCCCACGTCCCACCCTGGTTCTGGCTCTGGTTCCTCTGGCCGGGAAGGGCTCTGGGGCACACCCAGCTTATTCCCTTTTTGAGCCCTTCCTGCATGTGTTATCTCTTGGCATTTAATTCACCAGCAGGGAAGAAAAACTCTGAAACAAAAGCGACCCTTTCCTGCCTGTTCCTTGTGTATTGTTGCACAGCTCCCCAGCCCGTGTGGGGTCATGGACACTTCTCTTCACAGCCCTGTCCTTCACAAACTGGCAAAACCCTTCCCCTTCTCCTTCCTCTTCCACCCAACCTTTCTGCCAGTGGTTTGAAAAACAGAACCTTCCTAAACAGGGGTGCAGCTCACGAACCCAAACCCTGGGAACACTGGATACTGCTGCCAGTGAGTTGTTTTCCTGGAAGTTCCTCTCCTGCCTCGTTATTCCCAGCAAGGGAATGAAACCAGGGAACTCTCACAGATAACTGTGCTACCTCTGAATCCCAAAAAATCCCCCCGGGAGCAGGGGGTGTCTCCAATCCTTCTGCTTCTCTCTGTGGCTTTTATTTATTTCCGAGCCCTCTCAGCGAGCACGGCGGTTTTATTTCAAAGCGCACTGGCAGCTCCAGCAGCATCTCATGGTGCCAGAACATTCTTCAGTGCATCGTTCATGATGCCACATCACCGCTCTGGGAATGGTTCGTGCAGGGCGGGCGGAGCAGGAGCACAATCCCTGCAGGGTTTGTCAGTCCAGCAGAAACTCCGACCCACAGCCTCCCCTCTGTCTGAGAGAAGGGACCAGGAGAGGGATCCAAAATGGAGCTGGGGTGCTTGGAAAAGGAGGGGTGGGAGAGCTGGCTGTGTTAGTTCCAGCATCTGGAGAGGTGCAGCTCATACCTGCACACACGTGGCTTTCTGAGCAGGACACGACACAAATGAGGGGAGTGTTTCTTCCATTGATCCACGAGAGCTTGGCAGCGTGGAGTACTAGCAAAGAGTGTTCTGACTGGGAGCTGGTAAATAAATGGGTTTGGAATTGAGCTTAATGTGCTGTCAGTAATAAAAAGAAGTGTTTTTGGAGACTGATTTTTTTTGCAAGGGCCTGCACAAGGGGGAATGACTCCGTGATTCTGTGATTCCTGACCTGTGCATGGGCTCCCTGAGCAGGATGTTTGTGACAGCTCTGCCACCACAGCAACCTGAGGCCTCCTGAGCAGGTGAGAAACACTCTGCAAGGCAGGAGAACTGCACCTGGCCATGGTTTGTGTTGCCATTGCACAGCCTGAGCGCCCCTTCTGCAGCTGTGGGTATTTCACGCTGCAAGCACCTACATGAGCTTCACATTTGAAGGAGAATCACAAGAGCTCACAGTTTACATCTTTCCTTCTTTTTAATCCACGAACACAAGAGACTTTTCAGTATTTCTCCGTGTTATTTCAGCACTTCCCTGTCCCCACGGCTCCTCCCGATGCTCTGGGGTGACTCATTTCCTGTGCGGGACGAAGCAGCCATTTCCTGGCTGTGCAACACAGCAGTTTTTTCCCCTCTTAGCTGGGGTTGGAGTGCTGAAGATTAGGCTATGGTTTGATGAATCTGTGGTTTGATTAATCTGTGGTCTGATTATACCCCCTGCAACTCATCCCAGAGCTGCTGCTCTTCCCCAGAAATCACCTGGCAGCACCTGGGGCTCATGGCTGCCCCTGCTCCCCTGGGCCCAGGGTCCATGATTTGGACTCTGACATTGAATTAATCACTCTAACCAGCTCTAACAGGGCCATCCTTCCAGTTACTGCAAACCATATTTTCTCTTCATTTGACCCATTTCAGCTCATAATAAACAAGATTTTTAAAAAGCACCACAAGGCAAAGCCACTGATCTTCCCAGCACAGATCAAAGCCAGAAATTCTGATTTATCCCCTAAATGCTACCAAAGTTGCTTATTGTAATTTGAGAAATCCAGATAAAACCTGTGTTTGTGTTAGACACAAGCTATCAGAAGGCTGGGTTGGTTCCTGCATTGATTCTGTGCCCATCATTCCACTTCTCCCCTCCAACCTGTGCTCCCAGTTTCCTGAGCCACTTCTTATTCCCATCCCATCCTGTGGCTAACTTGTGGACAGCTCTTGGAGCTCAGACTTTGCCTGGACATTGGAACGCCAGCCTGAGGTGTCACAGCACTTTCAAGCAGCTTTTTACTACTGGATTTTAAATTATTCTTTTAATCTTATTTGAACATTTGGACTCACCAGACCTGGAATGTTGGGGACGAAACCCCCACACAGCAGGGATGCTGCCCTGGAGTCTGAATGGAGCACATGTGGAGGGCTGAGCCCTGAATAATTCATACCTGTAATGATTTATTCATGCCCAAAGCTGGATACCTCCCTGTGACTTTCCATTATCTCAAAGAGAAGGCGAAGGTTCCGATTCCATTCCGCTGTCCCCAGCTCGGTGCCAGCTCCTGTGCTGGACTCAGAGCAGGGGGACTCACATCTCTGCTCAACACAAACAGGCACTTTCTGCCCTTCAGTGCCACAGCTGTGGCCCCTGAGACCCAAACTGAAATGCAGGGACAGGTCTTTGCACATTTTTTACAGAGAACAGTGGGTGAGCAAGCAGGTAAAGCTCTTTTCCAGGGATACACAGGGAAAGTGAGACCCCGAGGTCACGATGGTTGCATGACAAAAGGTCACTTTCTGAGCATGGAAAGCAGACAGGCCCTGGCTTGGTGATGTGATACCATGGAGCTGAGCTCACTCTCCACCAGAGACTGCAGTATTTCCCTCTGTAAAGTTAACAGATTCTGACACAGTTGATGGCACATTGCAGGATGCTTTTCTGCCCTTCAGGAACCTTGCAGGAATGCCTGGACGAAGACAGCAGCAGCAGCAGCTTCTGCCTCCTGTGTGCTCTCAGAAAATACCATCAGGAGAGGTTTACAGGGCCTGAGTTCCTGACCTGGGCGAGGATTCTGCAAGACATTCAAATTCCGTCTGTCTAGAAAGGCTGAAAGATGATCCCGTGTTTCAGAGAGTCTCCAGACCCCCAGGCAGCACTGCTCCTCACTGTCTGGTGTGAAATTTCCTAATTGTTTAACCTGCAATCCTGACTTTTTTTGTCCTTGAAATAAGGCTCTGCATCAGCATAATTAAAAATGTCAAACAGGCTTGAGAGCCTCTCCAAGTTGCTAAAAATGAATGTGAATTTCCTCCCTGCAGCCTCACTCCGTCTCTCCCTTGCTCTGGCCTCAGCTTTCCCGAGTGCCTGGTTCCAGCCCCTCAGCATAGTTTGCATTCCACTGCCAAGAATGAACATTTATTTATACAAACAACCCTTCTTCCAAGCACATCTCCCTCTATCCCAGGGCAGGGAAGTAAACGCCATTGCTCGTCTGTGCATAGCTCCAGCTCTGCATTTCCTTCTTGCTTTAGTCAGGGGTTTGTTTGCAGGGACAGATAAGTGCCCTTCTGTTGCTTCCCTGTGCCCAGCAATGGCCTGAGAAGCTCCTTCCCTTCCTTACATCCTCTTAAGGATAACTCCAATTTCCTGATCAGCCTCTCGAGGGGGCTCACTGGCTCAGCAGCAATTTCCAGAGCTGGAACCTGGGGGGCTCTGCAGGACTTTGAGAGTACTCAGCCCCCCAGATCTGCTTCTCTCCCAGCACCCCACAACCTGATGATCCCAATCTGTGCTGTGCTGGTGCTCCCAGCAGTGCGGGTGGAGCTCAGGGGGAAGAGGAGCAGCAGCTCCCAGAGCAGCAGTGCTGCAGGGCCCAGGGGAGGCAGGTGCAGCTCATGCATTATTGCTGCAGCGTCTCCATCGCTCACCTGCCGGGCTCCGTGATTGTTCCTGAAACCTTAGCTCTGCCCCTCTGTCCACAGGTGTCTCCTGTTGCATCTGCCTTTCAAATGGATATGGCACAGATGCCAGATGATTCCAGACAGGAGAATGTCCCAGTCTGAGCACAGGTCATTTAAATGAAAAAGGGCCCTGGCAGAGAGGCACCTGCAGAGCATCCAGGGGATGCTCCCTCGGCTGTGGAGCCTGCCTGCTGCTTGCTCCCTGCTCTGAACACAGGATTTTACAGGTAGAAACTGCAGCAACATTTGAAGAGGTGTCCACGGTATAAAGGGAGGTGTGTGTGTCCCCAGGGCACACAGATCACACAGGTGTGTGTGCCCCCACCTCAGGCACATGGATCACACAGGTGTGTACAGCCCAGTACTGCCCATGTGTTTCTCCATGCTTGTGTTTGCATCCCCTCATCTCTGCTGTGGTTGCCCTGGAGCTGAGTGGGACACGAGAGACTCCAAAGGCAGAAGGAACAAGAGGACAGGAGGGATTGTCCAAATCTTGCTGCCCCCCTCCCCAAATTCTGTGTTTTGGTGCCACACATGGCAGTTCAGGAGCCTCGGCTGTGCAGCTTGTTTCCACACTGAGTCAAGAACAAAGATGTCCAAACACAGCTGGCTCAGAGAGGATGGGGACAGCCACGCTCTGTGCCCAGAGAGGATGGGGACAGCCATGCTCTGTGCCCACCATGAGCCCCATTGTCATCCCGGCCAAGATCGACATCATTTCCCCAGGGCTGCAGCTCTATTAAACACAAAGCTTCAAATTATTTCCTACTTGGATCAAAGATGTGTTTGTTCCAGTGGCACTTAAGTTTAAAAGGCAGTGCTGGGGATGAATGAGACCTTCCCAGAGGCAGCTGCTGAGGCTCAATTGGTTTGTCAGTGCTGTAGTTATGCTGAGGGCATCTCGTGGTTGCTGGCCCGTATGTTCCTGAAGGATGTTGTGCAGTGGAACAGCTCAGAGTAGCCTTGCTCTATGGCTAAGGGGCTTTTGCTTTCCTGGTGTGAAGGTTTGCTCATGCTTCAGATGGTGACAGTGTTCAGGAATCTCACTTTCTGATTCCAGACTCAAAGCCAAAGCAGTTGGATCAAACTGGGTGGAAGTGTATGAAGAGACACAACAGCTTATGTGCAGAACAGTGGAATTGGTGGTTTGATTGTAGTCTGGGATCTGGGTGAGCAACCAGCTCCCTAAATGTACCATCTCCTGGTCTGGATTGCACAGCAGATGCTCCCTGTGACAGACAGGAGGTGAAGGAAGCCCTCTGGAGTATGAAATGATACATTAAAAGAACATGAAGGCAGGAAGATGCAGAATGTGAAGTCAGGGAGAACTGAGAACACTGGCGATGCCAAAGGAACAAAAGAAACTCAATATCCTTCAGAAGTTTTAATATTTAATTGGCGAGCTCTGTGATACCAGGGCAGTGAGTGTGGCAGGCAATGACAGGATCCCATGCAAGGAGTGTCTCATGGGGCCCCAGCACCCCCAAAACACAGGCACAGGGGCTCCTTGTGGGCAGAACATCACTTCTGTGTGCAGCTCCCTTCTCTGCACCATAGCTCTGAATTCCTGGTTTGGGGTAAAACCAGCATCACAAAAGAGACTTGCAGTGCCTGGCAGCAGGTCTGGAAGTTGGGGATGTGTCACTCCTGGCTCCCTCCTGTGCAGGGACTACCTTCATCTTCAGCCAGAGGAGCATTTCCTTGAGCTCACTCACTCTCCCTGTGGAGCTAAATTCCCTCCAGAGGGGCAGTTCAGCTACATTTTCTTACTTGAAGGTCAAGGCTCAAAAAATACATGATAATACTTTATTTATTGAGAAAATACTTTGTTCCATAGTGCAAGATGACAAGTTCCTCCTGCAGCAGGTGGAAGTCAGTTCTCAGAATCCTTCCCTCAGGGACACTTTCAGCTGAGAACTCCAGATCCAAACCACCCGTTGGCTCTGGTTTCTCTGGAATCTGTTGAGTGGAGTTGCTTGGTTTGCTCCTCCTCATGCTCTGGGCAGGGTGTTACAGCTGCAGCTCTCCTGGATCCCAGGCCAAGTGTGTGTTTCTTGTCCCAGGGATCATCCAGCTGTGGGGTTTTCATCCCTAAGGCTCAGCTCTGCTCTCAAGGAGTGGGGGGCAGCAATGGGGAGCCACTCTCCAGATCCTGCTGGTCCTGGCTGCTGCCCCGGGTGGCCACTCAGAGCCCAACAAAGCCAAGGGCTCTCAGGACAGAGAGCTTTTCTCATGGCTTCCATCCCACCCCAGGGAGTGGCAGGTTGCTCTGAGTTCCCTTTCCTAACAAACACCTCTTCCCCTCTCTCCTAGGCTGCCCTGTGCCCTGGATGAGATCGTGTCCTTGGGCAGTGCTCTGCTCTGTGGGAGGCTGCCTGCCTGACCTTGGAGCAGGTAAGGGAGACAGGGGCACGTCTAAACAAGGACAGAGTAGAAAATTGAGCAGGAGCCAAGGCTCCAAAGGCGGGAGCCTCTAAGTCTCACAGCTGGCATCACCAGGGAGCATAAACAAATGCCTGTGGCCAAAACCCTGGGGTGCTGCTCAGGGAGATGTTGAACTTGGGGCTCCTTTTGTGCTCCCCTTGCCAGAAACCCAGCAGGGACTGGAAGAAGCCATCCCACAGCCAGGGAGCTTCCCCTCCCCTGCAAGGTACTTTGTCACCAACACTGTTACCAACAGTGTTTTTTCCTGCCTGCGGGAGCCATTTCCCATCACATCCCAGCAAACCTCTGTAAACACCTGGGGTGCAGAAGTGAACGTGAGCTTTGCCTGGTGCTGGTGAGACTGTCCTGCGCCCCAGGCTGAGTCACCTCCATTTCAGAGGCTTTAGACAGGGGTAGGAAGGAGCTGAGGTGTCAGTCACTAAAGATGGTTTGTGTTGCAAAAGAAGTAGGTTACCATGTCCCATTGTGAACAATTACACCTAATTACAAGTCACAGACTCACCACAAATACTATTTAATAACAAATTGCTGCCACACTCCAGCCAGAGCGTGCTGGGGGAACATGTGAGCTCTGGTTTGTGGGCAGGTGGGACAGCAGGGGAGAGGGTCTGGCTCAGCTCAGGGCGGGGCAGGTGCCAGGCTCCAAAACTGGGAGAAAACTTTGGCTGCAGTGTCCTGTTCCCAGCAGTGGTGTGTGGCTTTGAGTTGGATCGGATTGGCTCAGTTCAGTTTAGCAGATGGTTGACGAAACACCTCGTGTCACACGATGATTTTAGTTAAACTTTAAAAGGCTGCTCAGAAATGTAAAAAAACCGCAATAAACTTCCTGAGAATGAAATTAAACAGGATTTGCGCCCTCCCCTCGCCACCGCAGCCGTTCGCTTTGGCTGTTCGGTACCGATGGAGCAGCACCGACCCAGCCCGGCCGGGGGGCTCGCTTCTCCGGGCCGTGCCGCCGGTGCTGCCGTTCCCGGCGGGACCGGGGCGAGCACCGGGGGCCGAGCTCCCCCTGCCGGTACCGGGGCCCAGCGCCCTTCTCCGCTACCGGGGCCGAGCTCCCCCTGCCGGTAGCGGCGGCTCGGGCCGCGGGGAGCAGGAACAAAAGGGTTCCCGTCGCACGTCGCTCCCGGGTGATTGGCAGAACCGGGAGGAGCAAGGCCGTTCGTGCAGCGGGCGGTACCGGAGCCACCCGGTGCCCGGCGCCCAGCCCCGAGAGCGGCGGGTGAAGCAGCGGTGCTGCTGCACGGGCATTCTCCCTTCTGCCCCCCAGCAGCTCGTGGGCAGGGCGGGGGCACAGATCGCTGTCACACGAGCAGCGCTGGGGGACACAATCCCCACGGCTGGGCTGTGCCGGTACCGTCCCCGTGCTCATCTGTCGCTGTTTGCACCGGGAATGGTGGGGCCCGGCCAGGCAGCTGTCCCCAGGGCGCTGGCACAGCTGTGGGTACCCCCAAACTCCACCTCGATGCTGTGACAGTGACACTGCAGCGTTTCCTGCCCAGGTCACAGATTTGGGCATCGCTGATCGCAGCTTTCCAACTTCCTCCTGGGAAATACAACGTGAGCTCCTATTAATAGAAGTTGATGGTTTCCAATGAATTTTTTCCTTCACTCAGGCTGGTTTGGTGGCTGATTCCTACTTGGTGGCCGAGGCAATGCTCTGCCAGGCTTTTATTAGCATTTTTCAGAGGCCTTGGTTTAGTGCTCACAGTTGCATCCCAGGCCAGCGGCTCCGGAACGCAGCCCCTCAGGAGCAGAGATAATTGGAGCTCAGGGAAAAAGTGGTGTCCGAGTCTTTGAACAAAAAAGGGCTTATTTAAGGAATGTGGTGCTGGAGGCCAGTGTTTGCCAGCAGGGTCTGGAGCTGCTGCCTGCAGTCAGATCCTGCCCTCCACAGACTCTCCGGGTGGGATTTTCTGGGAGCAGCTCTCAAAATGGAGGCATGGTGCCCTGTAGCAAGTACAGGATGTATCCTGGGAATTGTATTTCTGCAAGCAGGGCAGGAGGGGCTGGGGGAGGGATGTGGGGAAGCAGGAAGAGAGCTGAAGAGGTGCTCAGAAGATTCTTGTACAGGGCAGATGAGGAGGCAAACAAACAACGCAGAGAACAGGAAAACCGATGTGTTAGGAAATGATGGATCCATCCCCCGGGCTCCTGCTCAGGAGGGTGGGACAAGCTCTGTGATTTCTGGCAGCCATGAGCTGCAGCTGCTCCACTCAGCTCCCGTGCTGCAGCCAGATGTGTTTGAGTGCAGCTTCAGCCCTTCCTGCCCTGACTCAGCCCCAGCAGTGCCTCCAAGCTCTGGCAATGCCCCACACGTGTTTTTGGGGGCTGTCCCAGGTCCCCTCACCTCCAGGGAGGGTTTCCCAAGGGAAGGGGGAAGGGGGCAGGAGTCAAGTTTAAGCACTGTTCTGTATCCTGTTGTTTTCCTAGCAGGATTGTTGCAGTTTCCTGCACTGTCTTATCTGGAGCAGGGAAGTCAGAGCTCTCCAATTCTCTGGCTCCGTGCGTGTCCCAGGCTCTAATCTGCAAAACAGGCGTTGGAGCCCGTGAGAGGCACCAGCCAGGGCTGCCACAGGGCAATGGGACAAGGACAGAGGGGGCAAAGGGCTTTTAGTGCCTCCAAATTAGTGTCTTTATGCAGTGCTCCTGTTTGCACAAGGCTGCGTCTGTTTTATGGGTTCAGGCCTTCAGCACGCCTGGGAGGGGGAGAGAGAAAGATCCCAGTGGTGGCAATCTCAGGTCACTCTGTGTCTGACAGACCTTACAGGAGGAGAAATCTCAGAAAGTGCTGAGTTTGCTTTCCCCCCCACCAAGGACTCAAAGGACACACATGAAGTCTTAAAACTGAAAAAAGCATTTCCATGTTTCAGTCAGCCCAAAGTTCAGTCTCCCCTGAAGTGCTGGAGACTCTTGTGGAATTACCTGGCTGCATTTTCTGGAATACAGAGGTAAAATCAGCCCCAAAAAAAACCAAAAAAAAAAAAACCCAAAAACCCCACAAAAAACCCACAAAACCCCCAAAAAAAAAACCAAAAAACCCACCAAAACCCCACAAAAAACCCACAAAAACCCCAAAAAACAAACCAACCAACCAACAAACAAACAGAGAAAGAAAAACACAAAAAAAAACCAAACTTTTTTTTTTTTTTTCCATGAGTGAGCCTGAATTTACCTAACTGTAGGTTTTAGCAGTAGACTGAATTCCCTATGGGTTAAAAAAAATTGAAATCCTTTACTGTACAGCTCTGGAATGTCCTGTTTTCCTGCAGAAAGGTGTGGGTCCTGTACACAGTGTCCATTATCAGATGGGAGCCTCTCCTGGAAAGAGGATTAACCCACAACATCACTCCCAGCCACACAGACACTGAATCAGGCACAGGGCTCCAAAACAAACCTCAGTCCCAAACTCTAAGCCCAGACCCTTCTCCACAGGGATCCCAGGGTTGCTGGAAGCAGGGAAAAACTGTGGCAAAGATCAAGATGGATTTTTATTATTCAAAGGGAAAAACACCTATGCCAGTTCAACCTTTGGGGGAAGGACAGTGGTCATTTTCCTCACTCGGCTGTGCCTGTGAATCCAGAGTGATTCCACTTGCCATTCCTTTGAGGGAATCTCAGCTGCTGGAAGTCTGAGGACCACAGACTAAGGGGGTCTGTAGCTGGGAACTAAACAGCAAGAGAAGAAAAAAAGGCTTTTCTTTCAAAGAGATCAGGAAGAGGAAGACATGTGCCTGGAGATAAGGGAAGATAAAAGCATTCCATTTGCAGAGCCTGTGATAGGGATCAAGATGTTCATCTGCCAAGTCAGTGATTTTGTGGCCCTATGACCATGCGCAGCTTCCGTTCCTGTTACCTTTTCCCACACTGACTGAAGGCACCAGATTGTTGGCATGGAAGTTCCTCTGAGTCTGTCGGAATGGCTCAGCCCTTTTGGGGAATTGCACAGGCTGAACTTGAAGATAAAACTCTCTTTGACTTCAGGAGGGAAAATGTTTATTCCCCAAGTTCAGCTTGTAGGGGCTCAGCGGGAGCAGGCAGTGAACTCCCTGGCCTGGGGAGATGGGGACAGGTCAAACACCTCTGGGAAGAAGCTTGGGCAGAGCCCTGAGGGGTCAGGGCAGCTGAAATGGCCACTGCAGGTGACTCCCTGCCCTGTTTGCTGGGGTTCATCAGGAGTGAGCTCACGGGAACAGCAGATCCCATACACGGCCTTGATTAACATCAGGAGCTCAGATTGCATTTGCTGCTTCCAAAAAGGCTTTTATTGTCTGATTTTTTGTTAAAGCAGCAGCGGATTTCAGTAAAACATTCTTAGTAAATCCCGCCTTTGCACATTCCACATGCTGGCACGTGCAACAGCCAAGCATTTGGGCTAAAATTATCTGTGCTATCATTAGGAAGGAACATATGGATTGATGGAGCCTAAGTGCAGAAAGGAGCTGTGTGCTGTGCTGCAGGCTCCCCCCAAAGAGAGCAGTTCCTGTGCCTCCTGGTCAGCTGGCACCTGTGAGAGGTGTGACCTGTTCTCTTTGGACAGGAGAGCCAGTGTGTTGGGCTGGTGCTGATGGGCACCAAAGGCACTGGGCACTGAGGGCACTGGGCACAGCACTGCCCCAGGACCAGCACTCACAGCCCTTCCTGCCCCTCAGGCAGCCTTCACCCTCACCCTCTGACTCCTGAAATAAATCCCTGTGGACAAGCACCGTGTTCAGGGATTGCAGAGCAGCCCTACAGCTGTCAGCTGGGATGGGCTTCTCCTGTGCTGCCCAGCTCTCTGGGAGATCAGGAGCCCCGGGGCTGGAGCTCCTGTGCCTGCTCAGGTATGCTCAGGTGTGCTCAGGTATGCTCAGGTGTGCTCAGGTGTGCTCAGGCGTGCTCAGGTGTGCTCAGGCGTGCTCAGGTGTGCTCAGGTGTGCTCTCAGCAGTGTGCACTCACAGACTGCCAGCCAGGGCCTGTTCTCCCCAAGAGCTGAGCTCTGTGTAGCCAGAACTGCTCAAAGAACCACTTTTGACAAGGTTCCCACGTCCAGCATTTCCAGCCTTGCCTCTTTTACCACCATTGATTGCAAAGCTTTTAATTAATCATGGGCTGAGATGGGAGTGTGCGGTGTCAGCGATGGCTCCTGGGCTGCCGTGGTGCTGAGGGCACGCTGCGTGTTCCCTGTGGCACAGAAGCAGGGATGACTCCAGGCTGCTGCATGGAGCCTTCCAAACAGATGGGAGAGTTTCAGATTTAGTCTCTAATACAAATACAAGTTGCATGTGCAAGTCATTCAGTTGGGAAATTGCCTCTTGTTACTGTTTGCAAAGTCAGAGAATGTCAGGCTGAACCAGCCTCACCATTCCTTGATCTCTCTCTGCAGTTCTGCACTTGGAAACACAGAGCTTGCCAGCCCCAGAGTGCTGAAGGAATGGCTTGCAGAGTTCAGTTTGTAAAATTCTATTCTCAGTGTTTATATTTAGTTTCCGTTTTGTTGGTGTTGCAGAGGCTGATCCTGCAAATATTTACCCCAGGCAGGTTTTGTGTGTAGAGTTCTGGGAGTGCAGTGGGAGCTCAGCCCAGGGAGGGCACAGGCCTGCAGTGGGCTGAGCATGGAGAAATTCAGTTGCATCTTCTGGTCAGGGTTTTGTATATATACATATACACTTCTCCATGTATATAGCACACACATGTGATGATCCTTTCAGGTTCTGAGAGAGAAAGGCCATTCAAAGCAGCACTTACTGATCCCCACCTGAGAGAAGGCTCAGTGAGACAGAAAGCAGCAGCATGGTGAGTGTTCTGTTATGGCATAAATGATAGCAGAGACAAGAAAGAAAGAACAAATTGATTTTTGAAAGGAGTCCTGAGATGAGATTGACAATTATTGCACTGTTGGGGAGGGACAGAAACAGCCCCAGGACTGCTCTTGTCTGCACATCCTCTCACTCATGTCCTCTCCAACACCTTTACAGAGCGAGAGCACCAGTGACAGAGGGTGCAGCAGTACCAGTTCCCTTCAAGTGGATCTCTCCAACCTTGTGATCTGGGCACACACTCATGGGACCATATGCAGCCAGATTCCAGCCCTGGAATTTATTCAGAACACGGATCACTGGAACAATGACAACGCTGTGCTGTGGATGTGCAAAGCTGGGCATGCCTATCACTGGCACTGTGGCAAGTCACAAAACAGAGGTGAAGAAGTGACTGAGGCTGTAGGAGACAGAAAGAGGCGCTTGACTTCTGAGTCTTCGGCAAGAGAATCCAGCTTTGAGGAAAAGAAGCTCAAGCTGACCCCATCGTCTTTTGAGATGAATCAAGAAGATTCTGGGAGCACAGGGTCATGTGGCAGATCCCAAGGGGTCACTGAGCAGAAGGCTGACATCGCCTACACAAGGAATAACGAGCCCAAAGGCAGTCAGAATACCAGGAAACCCAAAACATCGTTCTCTGCAGCAGAGCAGCACTTCTCCATGTCTGGTAGTATACTCCAGACTGGCAAACAGGATGTGGAGTCCAAAAGTGACAAAGAAGTACAGATCATCATCTCTGATGAAGAGCAGTGTGAGGCAGATGAAGACAACCAAGGAGACAGAATCAGCCAGGATAATGTGTCAGAGCCATCTGCTAAGGAGTTGCAGATGCAGCATTGCCAGAAGATGGCATTGCCCCAGCCAGCAGCCTCCCAGAAAACTGCCTTTGCCCCCACAGCAAAGCCACCCCTAGCCCGTGCCTACATTCTGCAGGCTCCTGTCAGCAACTCAGAGGATGTGAGCGGGAACATAATAAGGTTGGCGTCTTCCACTCCTGCAGGGCCCAAAGCTGAAACTTCCAGAGCAAGGAGCCTCCTGGGGTCAGCAGCAGCACCAAAGGTATGTTTAAAACGCCTTCCTGTCCCCAGCACTGAAGCCAAGGCTCATCTTGAATCACAGCCCTCAGTGGTGTTCTTTGAGCTCCAAGCCACTGCTGCTGTTCGGCAACATCTCCATCTGAGCCCTGCAGAGTGTGGCACACCAGGAACGGGCTCCGGTGGGGATGGTGCTGAGAACGTGGGTGAGGACAGCGAGACATCAGGATCCAGGCAGACACCTTGTTCTTCAGCCTTCCAGAGTCCAGAGAGCCATCCACCTGCAGCCTCAAATGGAGGTAAGACAGTGTGGAGTTCTGTGCCTGCAGGGTGTGGGGGTGTTCCATTAATCACTTTCCCAAAATATCCAAGGAGGGCGAGTTCACATCACTGCCAGGATCTGTACTGCAGCATCTAAGTAAATATCTTGGATTTGGGGCACTGCTGTTTCTGCTCGAGGGGACTACAAAGCTCCCTGCCTAGAGGAATTGGTACTTCTGTAGGGAATGCCCTTCTCTGGGGTACCCAGAGGTGTTCTTGGCTGTGCCCCAGCCCCAACATCCCAGTTTGAATACTTTGGTCTTCCATTTTGCCCAGTACCCACACACAGTATGTTGGCCGTACTTGACAGAGTCCCTGTGGGAAACTGGAGCTAGAGCAGGGAACTCAGGTCTCCAGAGGAAGAAACAAGAGGAAGTAATGCAGAGAAATTGTGGCCAAAGCTCTGGCTGCACCAAGGCCAGTGGCAGCAGAGTGTCAGTCCTGCACAGGAAATGCAGGACTCCAAACATTGCTTTAGTCCTTGCAAGAATAAAGGTTTTCCCGTGTGCTATCCTGCAGCACAGGGGCCTGGGAATGGCCTTGTGAAGGGCTGAGGTTGCTGAGGCAGCATTTGGGGTCTGCCTGGGATGTGCTTACAGCACCAGTACTGGTCCTGAAAAGGCTTAGGGGTTGTTGTTCCTTGTGGAGCCATAACCACACAAACTGCCACGGTTGGGGTTTGGGAGCAGTATTTTACTATTTTCATAACTGACGTCATGTGTCATGTGAAGAGACTGGGAATTCCTCTGGGAATGTCTGTAGTAGCTGTTTCTGCCAAGGTAACTGGCTCATGGCTCAGAGGAGGCCTCAGCATTATTGATTCATGAGCTGTTCCTCTCTGCACCTGGAGCAGCCAGTACAAAACAGGCCAAAACCCCAAACCGGTGGGACAGCCATCAGTCTTTCAGGATGACAACTAAGCCTGTAAAGAATCTGGTGCAAAAAGGGTTCTAGGTGTTGGCTCGTGAGCCCTTTTCCATCACCCCATCCTCAGCCCTGGACGAGTCACAGGCGAGCAGATGGAGCTTTCCAGCAATCCAAAGAATTCATTTCTCATGCTACATCGAGCTAGGTAGATGTGGTATTGCCATGGCAACTTGAGAGAGAGCCCAACTGGAATCCTGGCAATCCTTTAAACAAAATCATACAACACTTCTACTCACCTGTTTGTTCTCCCTCTCCATCCACCCCAACCTTTGGTTCATGCTGGTATTTCACAGTGAAAGGGAAATTTCCCTGTATGGCAGTGAGCAGGGCCAGCTGCCAAGGGAGAGGGGAGCACGAGGGAGCCCAACTTGCCCTGGAGAGCTGGGCACTGTTGGGTTGTTCTGTCTTGTGGAGAACACAAATATGACCCACAGTTCTAGGGGAAGGGGTTTGGGAGAGTCCTCTCCTCTCTGAATGGCTTCCAGAAAGCAGATAGACACTATCCTGTATCTCCTTGTGTTTTACTGATCCTTGTAGATTCTTCCTGTCCACAAAGCTGTGTCTTGTCTTTTAGATGTGCTGAAGAAGCAGGAGAAAAAAAAAAACTATACCACTGGAGACATTAGAATGTTTGAAGAGTGGCTGAAGTCGCACCAACCCTCCGAGACACGCAAGATCCACATGCTGCCACCTGCAGACCTTGACCACTACCTGGTCTCGTTCTTCAGCTCTGCCAAGAAACAGAATGGCAAGGATTTTTCTGCCAATTCCTTAAGTTTTTTCCGGTGCAACATCAACCGGTACCTCCAGGACCACAACTACCAGTACAGCATGTTGAGAGGGCCAGAGTTCAAGGCCTCTCAGGAAGCCTATAAATTAAAGCATTGGTACCTGTTTCAAAAGAAGGAGGAAGGCTGGAATATTGTGGAGAACCTGACAGATGAAGATGTGGAAAACCTTCACAAGAAGGGAATTTTAAACAGGACAGACCCTCATGGCTTGCTGCACCTCATGTTCATCAACCTCATTAGGGGGTTTGGGGCAAGCACCCACCACCAGACCCACCAGCTCTGCTGGGGACAGGTGGTGCTGAGGAAGACCAAAGGAGAGGTGGAGTACTTGGAGTGGAAGGATGATCTGAGCCCTGGGGAAGATGAAGGGGAGCTAAGCCTACAGCTCTTTGCCAAGCCCGAGGATCCAGAGAACTGCCCGGTGGCCAGCTACAAGGAGTATGCCAGGAAGAGGCCAGCAGACATGCTGGAAGACAACCACCCTCTTTACCTGTGTCCCAAGTCACTGTACTCTGTCTGGGACAAGGTGTGGTACAGCAAGAAGACACTGTCAAAAGCCAGAATTGATAAGATCTTGAAAGTTATTACCCAGGAAGTCAGAGAAGCAGTAAAGAAGACCAGGACATAGGGGTGTCCCTTCACCTTTGCCCCTTCAAGCACTCCAAGGCTGCTCTGAAACACAATCCTACTGCAATATTTGGTGTAGGTTGAGAACAAACATCCTTCTGCTGGGCTTCACCTTGGCACTGAAGGTACCTACAGATCTGCAGCGCCTTGGCTTTCAGGGAAGTTCCTTTGTTGTTGTTCTGTTACTGGAATTGATAATTCAATGAGTTAATGAGAGTCTTCAGTTTCACATTTGCCAAACAAGTTAATGTTCTACCACACAGTCAATGCTGTTAGAAGCCATCACTGCTGATACAGAGAGGGCTTGGGGGTGGCAGAGCCTGGCCAAGAGCATCAGCTGCACCCACATTTTGAGGTTGACACCCCACACAGCTCAGCCTGTGAAGGAAGAGCGACAGGAGAGTGATGACACTGCCAATCCCAACCTCGCAGAAACGCTTCTGACAATGCTCAGGTCATTTCCCTTAGGGAAAGATTTGTAGATTGAAGTAGTTGTGGCTGTTTTAAGAAGTTATTTAAAGTGTCTGACAATGTTGAAAGGTTTTATGGTAAGTGGTTTCCCTGGAGTGCAAAACACAACTCCACAAAGGCACTGGGAGGTGTGCTCAGCTCTGCTCAGCTGCCCCAGTGCTGTTACAGCTCAGTCAGGTTTTTGGTTGCATTGTTGGCAGAGCCAAATAAAAGAACCTTTAATTCAGTCCTGTCTGTCTGTGCCTGAGCAGGAGGTGATGCTTTCCTGGAACACTGGTGTGTTCCCTGTTGTGCTCAGTCTCCCCTGCTCCCAGACTGGTGGCACAGAGCTTTGGGCCCTTTGAAGCCCTGGGAGCCATTCCCGTGGTGTCCAACAAAGCCTTGGGGGCCAAGCTCTTTGCCCCAGTTGGTCCCATTCAACCAACTGAACATCAAGAAGTAACTTAAGGATGTTTTTAGAGACATCAAACCAGACAAACCCCTCGGGTGCTGGAGGGATCTGCCGGCTCCTCTTGTGCTTTGGAGCACCGGTGGCATCACCGTGACACCCAGAGTGTCTGAGAGCTGTCCCCCGGGTCCCAGGTCACCCCGCTGCAGCCACACCTCTGCTCCCCACTTCCCTCAGCCCCCAGACCCCCAGACCACCCCGGCTCGGGCTCCTTGCTCCCCGTTGCTGTTCGGTTTAGCCCACGCCCAAGGCTGGGGAACGAGCGGGTTGCACCCTGTGCCAGCTCTGGCCTTGTCACAGCACCCGGGCACCTCCTGGGGCTCCACCGGGAACCCCCGGCCAGCGCCCGCCGAGCGGGGCGGGCTCCGCACCGGGACCCCCGTCAGGGCTTGCAGAGGGGTCGGTACCGGGTCCCGGCCGGTCCGTACCGGACCCGGTCAGCCTTGCAGAGGGGTCGGTACCGGGTCCCGGCCGGTCCGTACCGGACCCGGTCAGCCTTGCAGAGGGGTCGGTACCGGGTCCCGGCCGGTCCGTACCGGACCCGGTCAGCCTTGCAGAGGGGTCGGTACCGGGTCCCGGCCGGTCCGTACCGGACCGCGGGCGCTGCCCGGGAGCCCCCTAGCGGGGGCGGGCGGACGGGCACGGGCGCTGCGCGGTTGGGGTCGAACGGGACTTCGGAGCCCACCCGGTGCCATCCCCCGGTGCCACCCTGCCGTGCCGCCCCCGCCCCGCGCAGGGACTCCTCCCACCGGCCCGGGTGCTCCAAGGCCCGCCCGGTGGGACCCCGGTGCTCCCCCAGCCCCGGGAGGCTCCAGCCCCAACCCTGCATCCCAACCATGGGGGCTCCTCTGAAAATCCGGAGCAAAACCAGTGGAGCAGGCGGACAGAACAGGCCTGGGAGACCGAGGGAGTATAACAACTCTTTAATAAATTAGCAAAATAAACAGCATTTATATATATTTTTATATCCCATTGCTGCATCTCCATGGATCACAGGAGTTAAACCAATGTTGATTCCCAAGTCCCACGGCCACACTGATCCAGAGGCCTCAGTTCAGGTAGCCCCAAGGCAATGCTCAGCCTCGTGGTACTTAAAAACCTAAAACCACTGAGAAATAAAACAGCTTTTTCATAAGCCTGAGACAGCTCCCGAGGGGCAAAGTGAATTATCGGGTGATTTCACCTGGCTAGCTCCAGGCAGAAGTGATTAAAAAGATACTGATCCAATTTTTTCCCTCTTAAGAAAAAAAAAAAAAGTGTTCCTCCACCCCACAGGGAGGAGGAGGAGGAGGAAGGAGCTGATCTATTGCATGGAAGGATTATCAGTTTAACAATAAACCAGATTGATTTGCAGGGTTCACGCCTCTGATTGTTGCGATGGCCAGGGGTGGAGCTGATGGAGCATTTAGGTCATGCCTCAGCCGGTTGTGAGCAGGGCCAGCCCCCAGCCCGGGGGTCCCTCAGTCCTCATCCCGGACGTACTGCCCGGCCTCCCAGCGCTGCGCCATGGCGCTCTTGTGGCGAAACACTCGGGTGCTCTCCACCACCTGCCGAGACCAGAACGTGCAGGATCTTTTTATAAGGAAGAGACTTTCACAACGATCTGGTTTGCAGAGCTGTCCCCCCTCCCCCTGCCAGCTCCCCAACCCGCTCTGCCTGACCCAGTGTCACAGAATCACAAAATCAGAGAATCACAGAATCACAAGGTTGGAAGAGACCTCCAAGCTCAAGTCCAACCTGTTCCTTGACACCTCAACTAAACCATGGCACCCAGTGCTACATCCAATCTTTTTTTACACACATCCAGGGATGGTGACTCCACCACCTCCCCCGGCAGCCATTCCAGAACTTTATCACTCTTTCCATGAAAAACTTTTTCCTAATATCTAACCTACATTTCCCTTGACACAGCCTGAGACTGTGTCCTCTGGTTCTGCCAGTTGCTGCCTGGAGAAGGAGACCAACCCCACCTGACTACAACCACCCTTCAGGAAGTTGTGGAGAGTGATAAGGTCACCTCTGAGTCTCCTTTTCTCCTCCTTTTCTCCACCCAAGTGGTGCCCGTGGCCCCGTGGGAGCCAGGACCATCCTGTCCCCCCCTGTCCATCCCACAAGCCTCCAGGAGTGAGGGGAGCTGGGGAAGGTGGGAGGTGTCAGGGCAGCCCCCGCGCTCAGGAAGGGATTTTACCTCTGTGTTGACCTTGTCAACGGGTTCAATGCCTGCGTACTGTGGAAAGAGGAAAACACGATTAGATAATGGCAGCCTGGCCGGGGAATATCCAGGGGCTGCCAGATCTGGCTCCCAGCAGGGGCAGAGGGGAGGCAAGGGAAGGCAGCACAGGCAGCCAAGCCCTCCCTGGGGTTGGGGAAAGAGCCCAGGCCAGCATCCCCCACAGGAGGAAGCTGCTGCTCCTCCCCAGTCCCACCCAGGGCTGGCAGCTCTGAACATCAGGTGCTGCCTGGGGGGCTCATGTGGCCCCTTGGTGGTGCCACCAGCACCAGGTCTCCCACCAGGCTGAGCAGCTGGATCTCCAGCTCCAGGTGGGAGTCAGGAAAAGCCACCTCCAGCCCCAGAGCCACCAGTCTCCCCCAGGCTCGAGCCCCCCAACCACTTGGCACCAGCAGAGTGGGCATGTTCACCTTTCCATCCTCCTTCACCCTCCTCCTCCGCTCCTCGAAGGGGCTGGAACGCGACGAGTCAGGGGTGAGGGTCTCTGCACTGCCCTGGGAGGAACTGGTCACTCTTAGTGGGGTGAAGGATGAGATCAGCCCCAGGATCCCCGTCTGGTGTGAGGCAGGAGAGGAGGCAGGAGACTCGGACACTGAGTAGTTGCCACTGGCACCTGAGGCAGCTTGGAGAGAAAGAGCATTGGGGAGGTGACCTCACTTCCACTTCCAGGGGGTGGAGACCCACAGGAGTGTCAGGCCCCTGCCCCAAACCTCCCTCCACAGCAGGTCCAGCAGGTTTGGTCATAGCCTGGACCCCATGCCTGGGGGCCAGCCAGGGACCGCAGGAACAAGGGGTAAAATGCATTAGCTGGGCCCTTCCAGCCGTGTTTGCTGCTGTAACATGACACAAACTCATTGAGACCTGAGCAGCTCTGGAATCCTGCAGAGCCCATCCCTCCTCAGCAGCAGCTCTGCTGACTCCAGTGCGCTGGTATCAAGTTCTCCCAAGACAAACCTGCTACCAGCACCCAGGAATCCTTACAGGCATCCCACCAAACCATTTCCCTGCCACCATGCCCCTCTGCTCCCTTACCAGAGCTGTGCCTGGAGCGGGAGCCCTCCTGGGGAGCAGCACTGCTGTAGGTGTCCATCAGCCGCCGCCGCTGCTCCTGGAGCTCCTCTTCCCTCTGCAGGTCGCTCCGGATCTCCTCCTCGATCAGCGCCGACGTCTGCGGCTTCCATGTCCGCAGGCGGTACTGCTCCTCCCGGCCGTCCTCCCTCCGCAGCGGGCTCTGCGTCCCCATGTCCTCCACGAAGGACACCTTGGGCTTCCAGAAGGAGAGGTTCAAGTACTCTCTGGGCAGGACAGCAGTGCTGGCGGGGCTCGGGGTGGAGTCGGGAAGCTTTCCTCCCCAGGAATCCTCGCTGCCCCATTTGCTGGCGCTGGCGGAAGCGTGCTGGGACACCAAGGGCTGCTCCCGGCTCCTCTCGCTGGCGGCGAAGCGCGGCTGGGACAGCTGGAAGTGGGCGATGCTCGCTGTGTAGCTTCTCCCAGCCCTGGTGTCTTCTGCGGGGCTGGGGCTCGAGGGCTGCTCCACCACAAACTCTTTAACCCAGCTCCTCCTCTCCTCTGCCCGCTTCAGGGGAGTGGGCTTCTCTGGGGGGGCTTCCTCCTGCTCGAACACCCTCCTGCGCTCCTCCAGCTCCTGCTGCGTCCCCCTGTCATACGCCCCCAGCAGCCTCCCCTGCCTCTTCAGATCTTCCTCACGCTTCGTTTCCTGTTCAATTTCCCTCTGGACGTAAAGGGAAGCGCGGCCTCTGTCTTTCCCTTTCCTGCCTGGGCCGGGAGACGCGTGAATGTTGAGGACAGGCCTGGTCTGGATCTCCACCAGCTCGCTGCTGGAGGTCAGCCGCTGGATCCCCCTTTCCTTCCAGAGGTTCTCCTCCCTTTCCATGGCCATGCGGATCTCCCGCTCGATGGGCGTCTCGTTGCTGACCCTCGTCTCCTTGCCCAGCCCATCGCTGCTGGCCCGCAGATCCACATGGGAGGTCTCGTTGGAGGTGCTTCCATCGCTGGCATAGCCCGCAGTGGCTTCGTTATACATCTCACCCAAACCAGAGTCCAGGTCTTCTCTGGACCCTGCTTTGGTCAGGATGGACGTCTTCCCGATGGGATATGACCTTTCTGTGTGAGCTTTTCTGGGAGCATGAACCTCCTCTTTCTCGGGTGTCTTGTAGGAGGACACACCATAAACCTGGTAAACGCTCTTGTCTGTCCCGCTCTGGCTTGATGCACTGCTGTAGCCTCTCGTACCCTTCGTGGCCATCTCAGGGCTGTACCACTCTTCTCTGGAGACTTTTGTCACTGACTCTGGCCTTGGGGACATGGCCTGCTGCCCTGGGCTGAAAAATGAGCCGGGGTTGGTCTTCTCCAGCATGAGGAACTGCTGCCGAGCCGCAGAGAAGTTGATCTGCTCCGTGTCAATATTCTCAGGGTCAACGGGCGTTGCAGCCCTGCCTGGGGAAGGTTTGTCAAACCAGATGGCAAAGCTGGTGGGGACACTGCCTGTGTGCCTGCCTTCACCTCGGCTGCCCACGCCCGTGTTGATGGAGCCCAGCTCATCCATGGAGCTCCACCTCTCCGCAATGGTTGAGCTTTTCCTCATCACCTGGCTCCGGATGACCTCCTGCCTCTCATCTTCCAGCTCCCTGGCTTTCTCAGGTGAGATGTTGGGTGGAGGGACCCTGTAGAGGTCTTGCTCCTCATCATCATAGAGCTTTGAGGGTTTCCTCTCACCCTTGTAAGCCCGGAGGTCGTACAGGCTTCCCGATCTCACCACCTCTAGCTTGGACTCCCTGTCCGGGGACGGGGTCCAGACATCTCTTCCACCCTCCAGGAAATACGAGGGTGACTGGGACCTCCTCTTCCAGCTGTAGCCATTTTCTACCCTCTGGGTGCTGTGCTGAGCAGAGCTGAACACATCATCATCGCTGCTGGCCCTCAGGTCTGCCAGCGAGTCGTGCCTGTGCGAGGCCTGTGGCAGCTGGAACACAAGGTGCCTGGTGACTCTGTCCATCTCCTGGGAAGGGTCACTCCTGTGCCAACCTTGTCCCAGACAGGGGCCACTGCTCAGTTCTGAGGTCACCCTCAGAGTCCCAGTTCAGCAGAGGCCGAGGGTCTCGACCTGGCTGGCCCTGCAAGCAGGAGGGGAGAGCAGGATTAAGAACAGCAGAAGGAGCAGAGGGTGAGATGCAGCCCCTCTCCCAGCCTGGCACCACTGTCCTTGGCATGGGACAGAAACTGCCACACCAGCCTGCCCCGTGTGGGGCAGGAGCAGCCAGAGCACACAGCACCGTTCCCAACAGGAGCTGCCACAGAGCCCAGAAGCCCACCCCAGCTGTGTCCCCAGCCTGGCCGGGCTCTGGGGGAGCACAGCCAAACCTGCCCAGGCTGCAGAGGCAGCGAGACCCCAGCCACAGGCTCCTGGTGGCACCACATCCAGCTGGGCACTGCTCTGGGCACGGACAGCCTCAGGCCTCTCCACGGGCACAGGGCAGGGAGGGAGCTCCAGTCCTGGGCAGGGAGAGGCGGTGCCAGGGCCACTCCTGCATGGAATCCACTCCTGCATGGAATCTCTTCCTGTGCCATTTACAGAAAGGAGCCTCCAAATAGCCCAGCTCTAGAAACACTGGGGTCATAAAAACAGTTTCATGGCTCATAAAGCGAGGGGACTTTAACCCCCCTGGCACGCAGGGCAGGAGGGAGCAGCCCCAGCCTCGGGGTCAGTCCTGCAGGGCCAGCTGGAGCAGCGGATGCCAGACAGGGAGGGGCAGCACAGGTGGGTCCCCCATGAGACAGCAGCTGCCACCTCATCGCAGATGCCATCCCTGGCTCCAGAGTGGTGACACACATGTCACCTGCAGACAAGCTGGACGTGCCTGGAGCCAGCAGCACGTCCTGTGCCAGTTTGCCGAGGTTCAGCCGCGGCTTTGCCACCACCTGTGAGCCCTGGCAGGCCAGGGTGTGTCACTGCTGGGCACCGTTCCCGGGCACTCACGGCCTCCTGGGAGTTTACAGCAAAACTGGAGCAAGGCCACGGTGACAGCAGGGGCAGCCCAGAGCCTGGGGGCCACGCTCCTGGCAAGCACAGCTCGGGATGAGGCTGGAGGCAGGTGCCCGGTGTTCCCTGCATCCAGAGCATCCCGGCTCATCCCCAGGAGGAGAGCACTCCGTGCCTGCCTCCTTCCTGCAGCGATTCTGGTGCCCCCCAGCCCTCCCGGGATGCACCATCCTCCCTCCCGCAAAGCAAGCGGGGCTGGGCCCCAGCCGGGAGCTTTTTAAACCTTTCCTGGGGCAGGAGCACGTGGGTCTCGTTAGCTGGGACACCCTGGCCAGCCCCAGGCGATGCCTCAGCGCTGGAACTGCTGCCCAGCCCTGTGCCCAGCCCTGGTGCCTCAGCCTCTCTTCCTGAAGCTGTGCCCGGCTGAATTTACCTTTTAATTCCCCTGCTGTGATTCACTCTTGCTCTTTTATTGCCCCCAGTGACGAGGATAATAAAAAGCATCTGCCCCACGCCTCTTACCATGTTTGGGGGGATGAAATCCCGGCTGGAAGGGGACCCCCTCAGCGGGGAGCGCCGGCAGCTGGCACAGGAGGGGAGCAGGGACACAGAAACCAGCTGGGCTCTTATCAGGGCTCCCTGCAAGCGGAACGGCCCCTCCCAGAGCTGCAGCCAAAACATTCCACCTCCTCAGCCCTGCCTGCTGCTGTGGGGCTGCAGGGGGTCCTGCTCGGGGGTCCTGGGCTGCCCCCAGCCCAGCCAAGCACCGGGGGAGGGTTGATGACACTGCCACCAGTATGGCCTGGGGACCCCCCCCCCCATAAGGAGACACCTGGGTGCCTTCCAGGGTCCCTCCAGCTTGGGGGCTCTGCACAGGGCTGCAGAGCTGCAGTGCGCCCACCCCGTGCCCCCCCCGAGCCACGGGCTGCCCCCAAATGTATTGATGCACACAGACATCCCAGCACGTGTCCATGCCCCTCTGCTGCCCACCCCAGCCCTCCCTGCACACCCTCACTGCCACCATCCCACTCTGGGCACCGAGGCCAGGGGGGCACGGCGTCCCCCCAGCGCCTGGCACTGCCCTGGCCCCCGAGCACGCTGCACTTACTGTCCATGGAGCTGGCAGGGCAGGGGTCCCCATGCCCCCGGGGCGCCCAGCTGAGCCCCGTGTGCCGGGCGTGGCCGGGGGGGCAGCGCTGGGGTGTGGGGGGGCAGCGCTGGGGTGTGGGGGGCAGGAGGGCGCCTGCAGGGCCCTGATAAGCCCAGCACCAGGCGGCTGTGGGCAGTTCCAAGAAGCACGTCCTGTCCCCAAATTCCTGTGCTGCCGTCACCTTGCTGCAGCTGGTCCCGTGCCCGGGGGGCTGCCCTTGGCTCCGAGCCCTGGCACTCGCTGGTGCCCCGTGCACCAAGGTGCCAGCACACCCACGTGCCAATGCACGGGCACGGTGTGGCCATGCAGCCACAACCCTGCTCCAGCTCTTCCTGCCCCTCCATGAACGGCGCTGAGGGGCCCTGAAGCCTCAGCCAGAGCCTGCCTGTCCTGCTGTCCCCCAAGGTGGGGACATGGCAGGGGAGGGGACAGCAGCAGAGCCAGGAGCAACCCGTGCTCTCCTGTCACAGCAGGGGCCTCCCTGTCCATAACCTGGTGTTGGCACAGGTGCCCTCGCTGCCACAGCAGCCCTGGCACTGCCAGTCCCAGCTCCTGGCAGCTCCCTCCTTCCCTGGGGACTGCTCTGGACAGCTCTGGCACCTGCCAGAGCTGGGGCACAGTGTCCTTGGTGCCCTTGGTGCCCGGAGCTGGCTGGATCCCGGCGGAGTGGGCGACGTTGCCAGTGCCCAGAGCTGCCCTCCCTCCTGGCACGGGGCGTCACAGCCGTGCCAGGATGCTCAGCCCTGTCCCTGTGGCACATCCCTGTCCTCATCCTGTCTGCCCCACTCCTGCCAGGAGCCCCTCCCAGCCCCGCTGCTGCCCCAGCATGGCACTGGTGCCAGTCAGACCCCAGCTGCGGTTCTGGGGTCCCACTTACCCCCCTGGTGCCCCCGTTCCCGCTGGGGCTGGCACCGGCTGGCCTGGGGACGCTGGTGGCTGTGGCTGCCAGGCTGCTCTGCGTTTCCGGGCAGGTGAGCAGAGCCTGTTTTACCCTGGGGCTGAGCCAAAGTCCACAGGTGATGCCAAGGAGCCAGCAGCGCTCCACGCCCGCCGCAGGGCGTGTGCTGGCACCTGGGCTGGCACCGGCAAGGGTTGAGGCCCCACTGCCCCAGGAGAGCTCTGGAATCCCAACCCTGGGCAGAAACAGGACCTGGGGATGGACAGAGACCCACGGGCACGTGGTGATGGCACCTGGGGGCAGGAAACCCTCTTTACCTGGGCAGCATCACCCTCATCCCCTTCCTCCCCTGCCCACACAGTGAGGGAGCAGCAGAACCCACCCCAAACCTTCCACCCCCATCCTCCCAGCCCCCCTCCTCCCAGCCCTCGCTGGCTCCAGGCTGGTTGTTCACACAGTTTTATTTGCTCGGTTTGGGTGTTTTACAAACAACGGGGTGGGGGGGATGGGATGGGGTGGGAAAGGGAAGGGAATTCAAACGGCTTCGGCACAAGTGAAAAGCTCAGGGGCACGGGAAGTGCACTTCAGCAGAGCTGGGGGGGGACAGGAGGGCTGTGGGGCGGGACGGGGACGATGCCAGGCCCACCACCCGCTCCTCTCACACCCCAGCCCCGGCCCGGGGCTGCTCCTGCTCCCACCACCCCCGGGGCCGGGCTGGGCTGGGGGTCAAAGCCAACCGAGGGGCAGGGGCTGCCAAGGGTGGGAGGGAGGAGCCCCAGCGTGGGGCTGGGGGGTGCAGGGCCCAGGGTGGGACGGGTGGGTGGTGTTGGCCCCTGAAGTGGGGTGGCAAGAGGTGACGTTCCCCCCAGGGCTACAGGGGCAGGTGCCCTGTGGCACCCAGCCCGTGCCCTGCTCTGCAGCAATGGGGCTCCAGCGATGCCCAGCAGTGGATGGGGCAGGAGAAGGCCCCCCTTCCCCTGGCAGTGCCCTCCCAAAGCCCCCCTTCCCCAGCCCTGCCTCTGCCAGGGGCTCAGGACAGCGGTGGCACCATGAGCCCTCCCCCCCTCAGCCCTGCAATGACTCTGCTGGGGGGAAAACTGCAGCCTGAGGGACAACCTGGGGGACAACGGGAGTGTCATGGGGACAGGGGGTGGCACTGTCACACGGGGGGAGTGTGGGGGAAGGAAGGCCCATCCTTGGGGGAGCTGAGCCCCGTCCCTGGCTGCTCAGCCACCGGTGTTCTGGGCACCTTGGATGCTGCTCCACACGTTTTGGGGGATCCTGGGGACTTGCCCAGCCTCACGGCAGAGGGAACCCTCTCACACTTGAACAAGGATCCCTCACCAGTGGCTGCACCCTGCCCAAAGCTCCTGGGCAAGTATCTGGGCACTGCCAGCCCAGCTGCTGCAGCTCAGGGGCAGCTGATGTGGGCACCAAAAACCACGGGGCCCCCCCGCCTGCCCCAGCTGGTCTCAGTGGGGAGAAAACGCTGGTGCTGGTGGTGAAATCCCCACTGAAGGGCTGGGGTGCAGGGTGGGGCAGCAGGGAGGCTGCCCTCTGCGGGGACACCAGACCCCTGGCAGCTCCCAGTGCCAGTACTGGGCTGAACTGGGCTGCCCCCCTCCCCAAAGCCCAGCACCCCAGAAGGTGGCTCTGCAAAGCTGCTGAGCAGCAGGGGCAGGAAGGGAACAGGATGCTGGGCCACGAGGAAACACAGGACCCCCACCCCACTCCTGCCCCACTGGGCCCCCCAGGCTGCCCTTCCCTCGCTGGCACTGCCCCAGGAGGACACGGGCGCTGGGCACAGCACAGTTCAGCCCCCTCAGCTGGCAGAGCCCAGGGACAGAGGATGGCTGTCACTGCCAGCACCAGAGCGAGCTGAGCCCGGGGGGAGCAGGGCAGGCCGGGGACAGCCTGGGCTGACCCCGCGGGAGCCCTGGCATGACCACAGCCCAGTACAGGCAGGGATGGACGCTGCCCTCCATGCCCTCCAGGGCTCGGGGACCGCAGGGACGAGGAGATGGAGCGGAGATGCCCACGGGCAGCCAGCAGAGCCAGGCCTTTCCCCGCTGGAGCAGCGGGTGATGGAGGCACAGAGGAGGGGCTGGCACAGGGCTGGCTCCGATGCCCACCTGCTGGTGGCAGCTCCTGGGGAGTCATCCACGGACACGGCGCCGTCCTCCGACCCCCCGCCCGGCGGGTGGCACGGTGTCGGTGACAGAGGGACAGGCCCCGGTGCCAGGAGGGGCGAGGCGGGGCTGCGGTGGGGTGGGCGCACCGTGGGGCGAGGGGGGTCACTAATAAATACCACAGGCAGCGCTGGTGGGGGGCGGCACGGGGCTGCCATCGGGCAGAGGGGGCTCGCCGCCGCCCGCCTGGCACCACGTCGGATCTCCCCGGTTCTGCAGAGAGAGGGGCTGTGTCCGGTGTGGGGTGGGGGGAACCCCGTGTGGGGGGGCCGGGGCGGAGGGGGCTCGGCGGGGGCTCACATCACCGTGCAGCACTTGCAGCGCTGCTTCTTCGCGTCTGTCTCCTGCTCGGCCTCCTTGGCATCTGTGGCGTTGGCACCCGGCTTCTGCCCGCCCGCGCCCTCCTCGCCCAGCGGCTGGGCGGCCGCCGGCTCCAGGGCGGTGCCGTTGGGCGGCGTGTGGTCCTTGTGTGCCGGCTCCGGCTTGCCCTCGGCGTCCTCGATCACCACCAGCTCCGCCTTGATGGTGCCCTCCAGCCCCAGCACCTTCTTGGTCTCGTTCTCATCCTCCACGTTCTGGTAGCCCATGAAGATCATGGTGACGGGTTGCTCCTGCCCGGGCTCTGTCCCCTCGCCCGCTGGCACCGTCGCTTGCAGCCCCGTGATCTCCCGCCGCGGCGTCGGCTTCTGGCTGCCCGGGGCGCTGCCGCCCCCCGTGCCAGCCTTGGCTGGGGTCTGGCGCCCGGCAGCCTCGCTCAGGGTGGCCTCGTCCGCCTTGTGCAGGAGCTCGTCGACCTCGGAGGAGCTCAGGGGGTGGGCCCCGTTCTGCAGGGCCCCGTCCTCGGCGCTCACCGCGTGCACCACTGCGGGGACAAGAGGAGGGAGGGTGAGAGGGGCTCGGCGTGGGGGCACGACATGACCTGGCAAAGCTCCTGCTGGCACGTCCCACTCAGCCCCGGCTCCTGTGTGGGCACAGAGCGGCCCCTTCCCCTCTCCAAAGGTCCTGCCACTGAGGCTGGGCCTCCACTGCATCCCAAGCCTCCCCTCAGCGGAGCTGCTGCCAGACCCTGTCTCATCACCTGGCTCCAGCCAGGGACACCGAAATAAAAGCCCAGTGGAAGGAGCTGTTCCCAGAGCCTCGGGCTGTGAGCCCTGCGGGAGCCACGGCTGTTTGCCAGGCCAAGCCAAGCTGGCCAAGCTGCCCGTGGCAGGACGGCGTCTGCTGGCTGCCAGCTCGGCCAGGGCTGGCGTGACACTTTGCAGCAGGTCACCACTGCCACCTCTGAGACCCCAGCGATGCTGGGCAGTTGCTGCCCCAGTGTTCCCACCACATCCAGCAGGAGCAGGGCACGTGGTGGCCCCGTGCCCAGAGGATCTGGGGCTCTCCCAGCCCGGCTGCTCGTGGCTCTGCAGGCAGAGATGTGTGGATGTGTGGCCTGGCCAGAGTGACCAAGGGCTCCTTGCGTTTTCCTCTTGGCCTGGGGCATGACCTGATGGTCAGAGCAGCTGCCTCAGTGGGCAGCACCGGGTGAGGGGCAGTGCCCAGCCTGGCAGGGCCAGCACGGCCCTGGCCACACCGAGGGGGTGAAGGGGAGCGCTGTGTTTTCCTTGAAGAGGGTTGCTCCACTCAGCCACCAGTTCCCAGCAGGATGCTCCACTTCCATGGCTGGTCCTTGCCACCATGATGGTTCCTTGGGTTTCACAAGGCTCTCTGGAGCAGGTTCCCAGATGTTCCCAAAAGCAGGAGCTGCAGACAGGGACCAGTCCCTGGTGCTGCACTTTTACCATAGCCATCAGCCATGCTGCTCCCTGCTGCCAGCCTGTGGGACAGGCCAACGTGGTGCTAGTGCACATTCCCTGCCCATGGAACAGGCTCCTGAGTCTTGGACACCACAGATCCTCTTCTCTGCTCTCCAGCAGTGCAGGCTCACAATGTGCAAACCAGTTCTGGCCCATCTGGACCATCCACACCATGCTGCCATGGCGATCCTGCAGTCCACTGGACTGGGGCTGGTGAGGGACTGCCCTCACAGAGCTGGCAAAGCTGTCAGGAGCAGCCCCCGCACTTCCTCACCCTGCTGGGTGCCCGCTGGCACGCTCATGTGGCCGCTCCCTCGTCCCCTGCCACCGCCGCGGGCTGGCCCGTACCTTTCAGCTCATCCTCGTACACTTTGACCCCCTGCAGGCAGTGGTTCTGGGGGAGCATGGTGGTGCTGGACAGGACCTTGGTCTCCCCAGTCACTCTGTCCTTCTCCACCGTGATCTCCACCGAGTACATGGCTGGGACACAAAGAGGACAGCGCGAGTTACGGCGGCCCTGGCTCAGGATGGCAGCGGGACGGCGCGTGGCGGCAGCGCTGTGGAGCTCAGCAGGGCTCAGAGATGCTCAGCAGGGCTCAGTGGTGCTCAGCAGGGCCCAGCAGGGCCCAATGATGCTCAGCAAGGCTCAGCAGTGCCCAGCAGGGCTCAGTGGTGCCCAGTGGTGCCCAGCAGGGCTCAGAGATGCTCAGTAGGGCTCAGTGGTGCCCAGCAGGACCCAGCGGTGCCCAGCAGAGCTCAGTAGGGCTCAGTGGTGCCCAGTGGTGCCCAGCAGGGCTCAGCGATGCTCAGCAGGGCTCAGTGGTGCCCAGTGGTGCCCAGCAGGGCTCAGAGATGCTCAGCAGGGCTCAGTGGTGCTCAGCAGGGCTCAGTGGTGCCCAGCAGGGCTCAGCGATGCTCAGCAGGGCTCAGCAATGCCCAGCAGGGCTCAGCAATGCCCAGCAGGGCTCAGCAGTGTTAGCAAGGCGGCAGCGAGGAGCGGTGAATGGCACAGGCGGGTGTGACATCCCTGGCACTTCCCTCCTCCTGGGACCCGTGTCCATCCTGGTGCTGCTGGCATCCCCTTACCTCCATGGCCGCTGTGGTTCTCGGGCCGAGCCGTGTCCGTCTGTCCAGGCAGTGAGCAGTGCTGCCCGTGGGGCCTGGCCTGGAGCCAGGGTCATGCTCCAGGAGGTGCAAACCCCACTGAGGTGCTGCTGCTGGGACAGCCCCTCTGCCCCCATGGGATGGGCGATTCTTGGCATCTCTCCTTCCACTCCTGGCCAGCCCCTGCCAGCAGCGGGGTCCCCTCAGCCCTGTGCGTGGTGCTTAGCTCCGAGGATCCCTAAATGGGCTCTGCCCCATGCTGGTGCTGTGGTCTGGTCTGAGCCACTGCCCCAAAGCAGAGCAAACCCCTCCAGCAGCAGAGCTGGCTGCAGCCCCCAGCTCAGCCCCGCAGCCCCCTGTGGCTGGCACTCTGCTGCCTCACCCCTGCACTGAGAAGCTGCAAACAGAGCAGGAAGGATGAAACACGGAACAGGGCTGAGGCAGAAGGGCCCTGAAACACAAACCAGCCGTGGGGTGAAAGCAAACCCAAACCCTGTGGCTGCAGTGAGGGATGTTCTCTGCCCTGGGCTTGGGGAGGCATCGAGCGGCGCGGCGGGGAGGGGAAGCAGCCTGCAAGGAGCGCCTCTGCCAGGGCACAGCGGGCACCTACCCGCCTTCATCATCTCACTGCCTTCCACTGCCTTCATGGGGCTGCTGGAGACCCTCTTGTCGGCTGGAGATGGAGAGGAGAGATGAGCACCTGAGGCCGGGTGTGCCCACGGGTCAGGCCCCAGGGAGGGCAGTGTCCCCCCATGGCTGGCACCTGGGAGGGCTCCCCCACCCAGGGCACCACCCAGGGGACATGGGGACAGGGCTCTTGTGTGGCTCTCCCCGCCCATCTGGCCGCAGGGCAGCAGGAGGGAGTGCTTGGTGCTGAAACACGGCCCGAGGCGGGTCAGGATTCACCTACCCTTAACTGTGCCCAGGGGACTCTGCAAAACAGAAGGGAGAGGTTATAGGAGCTTCCAAGACCTGCCACGGCCCCCTGCCTGCACACCCACCCCCCACACACCCAGCCAGCCCCACCAGAGCCCCGACCCCACTGCTGGCAGCCCTGCCCACCTTCTGCGCGTTGGGGACAGCCTCAGCCTTCTTCTCCTCCTTGCCCGCTGCCTCTGCCAGGTTCTCCTTGGTGGAAGCCACTGAGCTGCTGTTCTCCAGCATCTCCAGCTCCTTCTCCAGCCTGCAGGGAGAGTCAGGGCTGAGAGGGAGTGTGGGACAGGTAACTGTGGTGCAGGCAGCCACGGGGGAGAGGGGACACACACATTGTCCCCCGGGCTCACGAGGTGCAGGGACACACAGACTCTGCCATGGTGCCACTGTCTCCTTGCAGAGGAGAAGCCGATGGGTTCAGCACCAATGGATGGCAGACACCCCCCTATGGGCACTGGGCAGGGGGAGTGCACACTGGGGGTCCCTCACTTGGTGGCCACAGCAACGCTGCTCCATCATCATTCTGCTCCTGCATGCGTCCCTCAAAACCTGGCTGAGCTTCCACGAGGGCAACTCCAGTTCTCAGCCTGGCAGCACAGCCCCAGTGGGATGTAGCAGAGCTCCGGGGAGCCCCCATGGATTCCTGCCCCGGCAGAGCTGCCCCGGGCTCCTCTCCCGGCCCGCCGAGGAATGCACCGCCCCATTAGCCGGACACAAAGGCCCCTTCGTGCCTGACCCCTCTCCGCAGCGATGCTCGGGAATTAGCGGCACCACCGTGACCGATTGCATTCCTGCGGCGCTGCCGGGACACCTCCGAGCCCAGCCGGGGCTGCGCAGGGACAGGGGGGCGCAGGGGCTGAGCCCCCTCCCTTCTCAGCCTCCCAGCCCTTCCCAAAGGCTGGAACACCACGATGAGGAGAGAAATCTGTGGGAGCCAGCACCGTGCCATCGAGAGGGTGGGCACCCAGCAGCCCCCCGGGCATCCCAGCCCAAAGCTGCCCAGCCTGTGGCTCCCTCTGGCACCCAGGGCAGAGCACAGCTGGGGATGGCCGTGCCCAGAGGGGCTGCAGGGCTGGGCACAGCTGGGGATGGCTGCAGGCTCTGGGTCAGACTGAAGGTTCTGGGTCTGGCTGCAGGCTCTGGGTTGGGCTGGCCAAGCTCTGGGGTGGGTTGCAGGCTCTGGGTTGGGCTGCAGCCCCTGGAGAAAAGCTGGCAAGACCCCAGCCAGGGTTCAGGCTCCAGGTTGAGCCCCAGCAGCTCCATGGTGGAATCTCCTCTCCCAGCAGCTCCAAGCTCAGCGTGCCCTGCCTCGTGCCCAGCACATGGGATCCACCTGAATCTCAGCACCCACCTGCCCAGGGGTCTCTGGAGGGACTTGGGTGCCCTCTCTCTGCACCCCAACATCCAGCCCCACAGCGGCCCTGTTACCTCTGGATGGTCTCCTCCAGCTCCTTGGTCTTCACCTCATCCTCCTGCATCTGCTTCTTCATGGCCTCTTCCTCCTCGGAGGCAGAAGCTGGGGCCCCCTCCAGGAGCCATCTCTCCCGCAGAGCCTTGGACTGGGGAGCAGAAGGGGGTCACGGTCCTGCCCTCCCCAGCCGGGGAGGCTCCCGGGGGGGGATCCTCACCTTGAGATGCTGCAGCTGCCGCCTGTCATCCTCGAGCTGCCGCCTTTTGTTCTCGATCTCCGTCTGACGCTTGCGCTTCTCCTGCAGGGACGGGAGCGGCGGGGCCGGGGAGGGGAGGGGGTGAGCCCCGGGCATGGCCGGGCAGGGGGCAGCGGGGCCGAGGGGCTGCCCCCGGGGAATGGCGTTCCCAGCCTCGGGAACACCCCAGAGCAAGGCTGGTGTCAGATCCCTGCTCTCCCTGGGACTAACCGAGGCATCGATGGAGCAGGGGAACTGGGGCAGGGCCTGGGCTCTGTTCACCATCTCAAAATGTCACCTTCCCCTCGGCCGGCCCCACTCAGCGAGCTGCCAGCCCCCGCGGCCTCTACCTCGTGCCCCCCTCGCTGCCACCCGTGCTGGGGCTGCTCCAGATCATTTCAGCAGAGTCAGACCCAGCCCGGGCGCGTCACCCGGCGCTTTCTCCTCTGCTCCAGAACAATTTGCCCTTTGTGTGGCAGAGATGGGCTGCCTGCCGGCTGGGCTGGGCACTGGGGGGAACGGTGGGTTCAACGAGCCCCGTGCCCTGCTCTGAGCTGGGAGGGGTCGCTCAGCAGGGCCCCCAACTGCTCCTTAATTAACATAATTACTGGTGCCCATGCCGGGCATGGCTGGAGAGCACCATCCTCAGCCCCTCCTGGGGAAGGAGGGGGAGGGAATCATCACTCATTTCCCTCACTTGGGGCTCGTCAAGGCGCTGCTTCGTTAATTAAACCTCCCAGCTGCCTGTTGCTTGCTCTGTCCCCGTTTCAACCGTGCAGCCAAGCCACGGCACCCCAAGAAGAGCCCCCACAGGAGGCCTGGGCCATTCTGAGTCCTTGTTCAGCTGCTGGAGACCCCCAGTCTGTGGCTGAGCACCTGCCCCAGCTCTCCTGCCCCTGCAGCCTCCTCCCCACCGGTGCCTGCCCCGGTTGTGAGCTGCAGGTGACGCCCTGGGGACGTGGGGACAGTGGCCTGGGCAGGGACTCACCGCGATGGCCTGCAGCCTCTCCTGCTGAAGGGTGCTGGCCTCCACGACCCTGCAGAGAGCAGAGAGCAGCTGTGAGGGGTGACACCAGGGGCAGGTCACCCAGCAAACCACGCGCTGTGCTGCACGGACAAAGGCTGAGCCCTTCCCTTCACCAGCTGCCTCCTCCTCCTCGCTGCCCTGCAGCCCAGCACCCCTCGCTGCTCCTCTGGGCACCTCCTGGCCCCATCCTGCCCAAACCCCCGGGCCAGGCGCCTTGCCCAGCCCCCGGAGCACTCGTGTCGTGCAGAGCCATCCTGCCCTGGCGCAGATGGAAACCCTGAGCACGGCGGGGCTGGAGCAGGACGCGTCTGGCTGCCAGCTCAGTCTGGCTCAGGCTTTCCATCCCCAGCCCTTCTTGGCTGCTGACGCCTTCCCCCGACTGTGACCTTTCCGGGCTGTGCACACAGGCACAGAGACACTCGTGTGCAGACAGACACACAGACACACACATGTGCACAGACACAGAGACACACTCATGTGCACAGACAGACACACCGACACACTCATGTGCACAGACAGACACACACACAAGTGCACAGACATACTGACAGACACGTGCACAGACAGACACACAGACACACTCATGTGCACACAGACACATCAACACACTCGTGTGCACAGACACACACACTGACACACTCGTGTGCACAGACAGACTGACACACTCATGTGCACAGACACACACACAGACACACTCCTGTGCACAGACTGACACACACATGTGAACAGATAGACACACTGACACATTGGTGTGCACAGACACACTGACACACTCGTGTGCACAGACACACTCGTGGGCACAGACACACACACTGGCACACTCGTGTGCACAGACAGACTGACACACTCATGTGCACAGAGACACACACATGTGCACAGACACACTGACACATACATGTGCAGACACACAGACACACTCCTGTGCACAAACTGACACACACATGTGAACAGATAGACACAGTGACACACTTGTGTGCACAGACACACAGTCATGTGCACAGACACACTGAAACACGTGCACAGACACACCGACACACTCATGTGCACAGACAGACACCCCGACACACTTGTGTGCACCGACACACTCATGTGCACAGACAGACACACGGACACAGTCCGACACACACCGCAGCAGGCTCTGCTCCCCGTGCCATCCACGGGCACAGCACCGGGCACCCGCCCCTCCGGCCTGGCACAGCTCCCCCGGTGCTCCGCAGGGGTTACCCCCAAGCCCGCAGCCACCTGCACATGTCCCCCCTGCCCGTGTCCCCAGGGTGAGGTGACCCGGGCCAGCGCAGCCCCGGGGACACCGGCTGCGGGCCCGGGGTGCTCCGGAGCCACGGGAGCCGCTGGCTGCCGGCCAGGCGGTGCTAATGAAGTGCTGAGCTGTGGCGGTAATTAGGGTGGGAGGCACTGAGGAATTGCCAGGCCATGGATCATCTCTGCTTCCCGGAGCAAGGGACACAGCTGGGCTCCAGGGAGGGTTTGCCGGAGGTGGTTTTACACACAGGGTGGGCTCGGGGTGCTGAGCCCCACGCGTGGCACTCTGAGCTGTGACCCCACGTGCCAGCCGTGGATGTGCCCTCACACGGGCTCCCCACGACTCAGACGGGCTCTGCAGGCTGAGAGCAGCCCCTGCCTCTGCCTGCTCCCTCCTCGAAGTCAGCAATTAGCTCAGAGCCGCTGTCCTCCCCTCACCCCACACCCCGGGGATCCCTGCGATGCGCAAAATCCAGGCCAGGAAAACAAGCGGGGAAGGTGTCGCTCTTGTGGTGTTATTTTCGTGCTGTGGCTGTTGCACCGGCGCAGGCGCAGGCACCGCCCTCACCCCCCTGTGTCCCCCGTGTCCCCTGTGTCCCGTGTGTCCCTCACCAGCCCCACACGCCCAGGCTGCCCATCAGCACGGCTCCCTCCTGCCCTGGGGCCACGGGACCCCTCAGCCCAGCCCTTGGCACCCCACACTCCCAGGGTGTTGCACTGTTTCTCTCCTGGATCTTGCCCTGCTCCATGGATCCAAACTTTTATAGCATTCCTGAAACATTCTGTTCTGCTTTTCCTCCCTCCTCCATCCTCTTTATTTTCCATTATTTGCTCGAGTCTCCACATTCCCAGGTCAGACGCCAGGAATCCTCCTGGCCCGGGGAGGGACGCGGGACAGGCTGGATGCCCCTCGCTGCAACCTGACCCTGCCCTGGGGGCTCTGATCCATCGAGGGGGGCTGAGCAGGGACCACCCCGGCTCCCCCAGCGCCTGCCTGCTGGGATGAGGCGCTGAGGTGGACAGAGGGGGTCCCAGGCTCCCCAAAATCCCATTCCTGCCTGCCCTGACCCGTCTGTGGGGTCGCTGTGACGGGGCCCCGCTGCCGCCGGCCCTTGTGGCTGATGGAGGCGGTTCCCTGGCAATGGTTCCCTGGCAACAGTGCCATGGCAACGGCGCTATGGCAACGGGAGAGTGCCAGGGGGAGGTGGGGGGATGCTCCAGGGGATGTGGGGGGATAGCAGAGACACCACAGGGCCCCCCAGGGCCGGGGTGCCCTCCCCAGGCCTGGCACCCCGGCAGCACTGGCAGGGCAGAGCTGTGGCATCACCACAGCCTCCTTAGGGGTTCTGGTGCTCCTGACCCATCCTGGCTGCCAGCAAGGGTGGGAAGGTGATCCCTGGGCCACCGAGCTCCTCAGGAGCCACCAGCCCAGACAAGGAGCAGGGACACGGGGGGTGATGCCCTGGCAGCCCCCAGCAGCCATCCCCAGGCCCGAGGCTGGCCCCACACACACGTGTGAGCACGCACACATGTGAGCACGCACACGCCTGCCCACGAGCCCCTGCTCTCCCTGGGCTCTCCAGCTCTTTCCAGCCCTGCTGATGTTGCCGTTTCCCACCATCACAAGGGAAGCCCGTGACCTTTTGTCTCCTCCCGCCTGACATGAAACAATAATGTTTATTTGCCTTCCTCCGTTTTTTCCCATTAGCTCATCCAAATGTGTGAAGAGCCGTTTCAAGCCGCTCCTCTGCTCCCCTGACCTCCCCTCCCTCCCCACGCACTCAGCCCCGAGCTGGGGGAGCTCAGGAGAGCGCCCTGCATGGGTGCATGGCCAGGCTGTGTGGTAAGGGCAGCAATCCAGGGACCAGCGCTGATTTCCAGCTGATTTCCAGCTCCATTCCACGCCAGGAGCCGGGCCCGGAGTGTGGGGAGGCTGCAAAGCTCTGTCACAAAGCCATTAACAGCGGGGCCGGGATCGAACGCCCCCGATGGCAGGCGCGGGAGGGGAGGGAGGGAGGGAGGGGAGGGGGCTGCAGCCGCCCCGGGGCCGCCGTGCATCGACCGTGAAGGCAAACGCATCAGCAGCGGCGGCTCGGGCAGGGACGGACAGAAATGCGAGCGGCCAAAGAGCAGCGTGGCCAGCACGGGGCCGGGACCCCGCTCAGGTCCTGCTGCAGGGGGGCTGCTCCTGCCCTGCCTGCCTCCCCCTGCTGCTCTGCATCACCCCAGTGCCCATCACTCCTTCCCCGCTGCCCCGGGGAGGGGACAGGGACAGGGAGAGGGGGAGGCGGGGGGAGGAGATGGCAGCCCCAGGCTCCCGAAAACGCAGATGCATTAGAGCAAGCGGAGCTGCCTGATTGATTCTTCGGGCTGAGACGTGGGCTGGGAGTGCCAGGAGAAAATGGATCCCATGAATATTTGATGAACGGAGGCTTGGGGAGGGAGTTTGATTGGAAAATTACAGATCTTTCAAACAATGGTTCAAGTGCCCTCCAAACACTTGGGTTTCCAGCTCCCTTCCAGTTAGAGGAGCAAGGCTCCACCAGGAAACTCCCCCCACGATTCATGAATGAGAGTGGAGCCAGCCTCTCCCCACCCCCAGGAGCACTGGCTGGCCAGGACAGGCAGGCCTGGCACTGGCCAGGATGGATGTGGCACCTCCTGGCACTGGCCAGGATGTGGCACCTGTCTCCTGCCACCAGCCATCCCTGGGTTCCTGTTCCTGAACACAGACACTCATGGTGTTCCAAGGAGCCAGCAGGAAGGTGGATCCAGGCACAGACACCCCTGGGAGCCCTGACACCCCACGGGGAGCTCAGACCTCGCTGCCAAGCCTAGGGGCTGGGCCCAGCCCTCGTCCAGCCACGCTCTGGCAGGAAACACCTGTCTGGGGCAGGATCCGCCCGGCTCCTCTCCCTCCTCCGGGCTCTTCCTCACCCCTGACAGCGGCTCCTGTCTGGGACCTGCGGGCTGCCTGTCTCTGGATGCACGGCAGAGACTCAGGAATCTGGGCTGTGCCTCCAGCCCCAGCCCTGTCCCAGGGCACGGCCCCTCCTCGGCTTTCCTGGGCCACCTCCACTGCTGGAGCCCCAGCCCAGCTCCCAGCTGCAGCCACATGAACCCCCACCCCGGGGGAAAGGGGCTGGTTCTGGCCAGGAAGCAGCAACACCAGCCCCAGCAGCTTCCCAGGAAACCTGCTCCAGTTCCTCCCAGTTCCTCCCAGTAAGGCAGGTCCAGCCCAGAGGCCCCATCGTGCAGCTGAGCTTTGAGCCCCATGGTCTGCCAGCCCCAGGCAGGGCTGGGTGCTGCTGTGGGGTTCTGATGTGGGGTGCTTTTGTGGGTGCTGTTGTGGGGTGCCGTTGTGGGGTGCCTTTGTGGGGTTTCTGGCCTCCTCTGCTCCAGCTGGACACAGGGACAGGACAGAGCTGACCCCTTCTGGCTCCTTGCTGGCCACAAGGCAGCGGGGTCTGGCCTGGGTTTTACTTCTCCCTGGATGCCACCAGAGAGCAAGGGCTTCCCTTCACACAGGACTCATGGGTTGTTTCTCAGGCAGAAATCTCCTTTTTTCCCCTGCAACTGCCACCTTCCAGTCAGGGAAGGCAGGACCAGGAGACCCTCACTCCAAGGAGACCCTCAAAGCCAAGGGGAGAGCAGCAAGTGAGACAAAGCAGCAGAGCAGGCAGATGTGAGTGCAGGATCCCCAGCTGCTCACCAGCACCGACAGCAGCGGGAGCAGAGGGCACAGGAGCAGCTCCAGTGGGACCAGCACAGCCTTTAGCAGAGTTGGAAAGTTTCTGCCAAACCTCCCAGTGGATCGTGGCAGGACCCTCCTCCAGCCACTGCCCGTGCCAAGGCAAAGCAGGAGCCAGGGCAAAGGCAGCAGTGCCCGCCCCAGCACCCGCTGGCTGCCACAGAGCCAGGCCAACAGCAGGGCAGCACCTTGCCGTGTCCCCAGCTGCCCTGGGGCCCCCCTAATCCTCCAGCCCCTCAGCCAGGCTCTGGAGCTGAGCAGCTGGAGGGGTCTGCTTGTTTTTCTCCATGGCTGTGCCCCCCACCCAGAGTCACTCACAGATTTTCAGTCTAAAGGCAGAGACGTTGGCAGGTCCAGTGTCTGGAGCTGGCAGGGGAACCCCTTTGCACCCCTCCGTGGGCTCTTTGGCCCTTGCTGGGAGGGTTGGCCCAGAGCAGGGTGGGTGTGGAGCCCAGGGGCAGGAGCACCAGCCTGTGCAGCACCTTCCCCCAGCTCAGCCCCAGCCCCAGCCACCTCTGCCCCAGGAGAGCCCCAGCCCAGACCGGCAGCTCCTCACCCCCTCCCCAGGGCCCGTCACACCCCTCGGCTCTGCCCTGCCCCTCGCCGCTGCCTTTTGGCAAATCACACACGTTTTCCTCCCCAAAGAGGCTCTTTCCTGCCCGAGGCCTTGGCCCTGCCTCTGGCCCCCCCAGCAGCATGGGGAGCCTCTCTGCCTCCTCAGCCCCTGCACCCCAATTCCCACAACATCCCCGCTGGTGCCCCCTGCTCAGTTCCAGCCCCAAATCCAGCCCAGGACACCCCCAGCCCACCCCTCGCCAGTGCCCCACGGCCTCGGGGGGCTCCCAGGTGGGAGCCAGGCAGTGCTGAGAGGGACCTGTTGAGCTCCCCTGGCGTCAGCAGCCGCTGGCGAGTGGATCCCCGCAGGGTGAGGAGCCCACCGGGAGCAGAGGGTGGCTGAGCCCGAGCTGCCTGCAGGAACCAGTGCCAGCCCCAGCCGGTGCCATCCCCAGGCAGCTGCTGGGGTGTTCACCATGGTGGGCACCAGAGCCACGGGAGGGAAGGAAAGGCCTGGGTGAGGCAGGGCCAGCGCTGGCTTGCAGCCCCTCGAGCAGCCCCCCAGCCCCGTGCCCGCCTGGCAGCAGCTGCTGGTGTCCCCAAAGGGGCAAACCCAGCACGCGGGTAGGACAGCCCGTGGCCACAAGCCCCTAGTGGCCTCCGCCTGCTCCGTCCTTCCCCCACCCGCCCGGCTCCGAGCTCCCAGCGACCGGCCAGGGCCCCACCGCAGCACACAAAGGACGAGGCCGGGCTCCGAGAGTGTCCGTCTGTCCAGACCGCTCCGCCGGGCCCCGGTTCGCGAGGATCCCCCGGCCACAGCCGCTTCCCCGGGCAGGGGCCGGGGGTGCAGCGCAGGGAGGGGTCCGCAGCTCTTCCCACCCACTCACCCCACCGCACGCAGCGGCAACAACAGGTTCAAAACACAAAAATAAACGCGCTCCCCACCCCCCGCTTCCTGCACCGCTGCCAGCCCCGACACCCCTCGCACCCCCCGCACCCCCGCGCCCGCACCGGGGCCTCTGCTGCTGCCCCCCGGCACCGGGGAGGGGCCGCACCTGCTGAGCGGCACCGGGGCGAAGGAGGCCCCGGAATCGGGGTCCCGAGCCCCGGAACCGGGGGAATGGGAGCCCCCGGTATTGGGGCCCTGAGCTCCAGTATCTGGCGGGATGTGAGCCCCCAGTTTTGGGGTCACAAGAACGGGGGGGATGCGAGCCCCACCCCCGGTTTTGGGGTCCCAAGCCTCAGCAGAGGGGGATAAAAACCTCAAGCACTGGAGTCCTGAATCCCCGGAATCAGGGGGATGCGAGCCTCCGGTTTCGGGGTGCTGAGTGCCCAGGAGCAGGGGGATACCAGACCCCAGGTTGGGACTCGCCAGCCCCGGCATCGGGGGTGTACGAGCCCCCGGTACGAGCTCCGTGAGCCGGCGGAGCGAGCTTCCCGCAGCCCCGGCGCGGGGGTCCCGGCCCCGGCCCCCGCTCCCCCCTCCTCGCTACTGCGGTCTCAGCCGCCGGGGCCCGGGGGGGCCGCGGCCCGGTGCCGGGGTCCCGCCGCGGCTCCGGTACTCACTCCATGGTCCCGGCGGCGGCTCCGGCGGGGTCGGATGTCGGGACCGCGCCGGTGCTCCCGCCTCCCTCCCGCACAGCTCCGTCTGCCGGGCGCGCCCCGCCACTGCCGCCGCCCATCATCCGGCCTCGGGGCGCGCCGGGCTCGCATCCGCTCCCGGGGTCCCAGCTGGGTCCCAGCCCGCCACCCCCCACCCGGCCCCGGGGGTCCCCGGGGCTGTGGCAGCTGCTGGGGGGTCCCCAGGCGGGTCCTGGCTGTGCAGTGCCCGGTGCGGGGCGGGTTGGAGGGGCTGCATTCAGAGCCCCTCCACGATCACAGCCTCTGGCAGTGTGTAACCCCCTCCTGTGAGTGCAGCCGCTCCGTCCCGCCCCACTGCGGGAACCGGCGGCTCTTTGCTGCCCCTTTCCGCTGCCCCATTTCCCAACCCAACGGCCGCAATGGGCAAACTGCCGCAGGAAGCCCCAAGCCGCCCTCCGTTGGGAAATCTGCCCGCTGCCGGGTGAGAACTCTGCTCCTGGCCCCAGGGCAAGCCGGCCTCTGCAGTGAGGGTCAAAAAATTCCCCCACATCCATGCCGCCCAATCCCCCGCACCCCTTTTTGCGTTCCAGGTCGATGCAGAACAGAGGGAGGAAACTGCGCCTCTGCCCACAGCATCGTCCTGGAGCCACCGGGGTCTGGAGGGGCTCAAAGAGGTGTCAGCTGGGGGCACAGCACAGTCCCTGTGTCACCCACAGCAGTCCCGGGGACACTGTCGGGTCTGAGAGATGTCCTGGGGCCCCGCTGCTGCCACCTCCCTGCGGAGAGGGGTTTCATCCCAGGCACAAGGGGAGTCGGGGCTGGGAAGCTGCTCTGCTCCTCATCTCCCACTCCGGGGAAGCTGCACGGAGCTCCCCGACCCCTGAATTGCACAAAGCAGCAACACCCGGAGGAGGAAGCAGGAGGGAAATACCCGCCCCCACCCCAAGGCTCAGCCCCTGGAGGGATTTAAGCACCCCCACCCCGAGCAGCCCCAGTGGTGGTGGCAGTGGCCCTGTCTGTGCCACCATGGTCACAGCTGGGCTCTTCATCCTCAGCCTGGGAGGCTCCATCCTGCTGCCAGCTCTGGCAGGTAATGAGAGAACTGGGGTGCCAGGGCAGGTCCCCAGGGTGGGAGATAGGAACCCTGGGCTCCAATCATCACCTGCACCCACCAGGCACCCAGGGGAGCCAGATCATCGGGGGAAAGGCGGCAGCACCCCACTCCCGGCCCTTCATGGCCTCCATCCAGATGGACGGGGAGCACGTCTGCGGGGGCTTCCTGGTGTGGCCCAAGTGGGTGATGACAGCTGCCCACTGCCTCGTTCCCAGGTGAGCCTTGTCTCCACGTGGGACACGTGCCCCTGGACACGGTGTGGCCCCTTCTAAACATGCCAAGGGTTAAGCTGCCCACCTCCCCCCTGAGTCCCCCTTGAATTCCCCCCTCCCCGAGGGCCACCAGCCACAGCAGCGCCCTCTGAGCCCCGCCATGCCACAGGCGCAGCCCCTCGGTGCGGGTGGTGCTGGGGGCCCAGCGGCTGCAGGAGCCCGAGGGGTCCCAGCAGATCTTCAGCGTGGTCGAGTCCATCGCCCACCCGCTCTACGACCTCCGTGCCGCGGACAACGACATCCGCCTGCTCCGGGTGAGTCTGTGCCGGGCAGTGGGGTACCCGCAGCCCTGGGGCGTGAGAGGGAGCTGGGGTGCCCCACGGCTCTGGAGCACTGGGAGGGAGCTGGTGTGCCCCACGACCCCAGGGCTCTGGAGAGAGGTTGGGTGCCCCACAGTCCCAGGGCACTGGGAGGGAGGTTGGGTGTCCAGGGCACCGGGAGGAGGTGGGGTGCCCCACGGCTCCGGAGCACTGGGAGGAGGTTGGGTGTCCATGGCCCCAGGGAACTGGGAGGGAGCTGGTGTGCCCCACGGCCCTGGGGCTCTGGGAAGGAGGTTTGGTGTCCACAGCCCCAGGGCTCTGGAGGGAGGTTGGGTGCCCTACAGCCCCAGGGCACCGGGAGGAGTTTGGGTGTCCATGGCCCCAGGACACCGGGATGGAGCTGGGTTGCCCCACGACATCAGGGTTCTGGAGGGAGGTTGGATGTCCAAAGCCGCGGGGCTCTTGGAGGGAGGTTGAGTGCCCCACGGCCCCGGAGCACCAGGAGGAAGGTTGGGTGTCCATGACCCCGGGGCTCTGGAGGGAGGTTGGGTGCCCCAGAGCCCCAGGGCACCGGGAGGTAGGTTGGGTGCCCAGGGCACCGGGAGGAGGTGGGTGCCCCACGAGGGGCCGAGCCGACACTAGATGTCAGTGCTTCTCCGGAGAAGCAGGACCGCGCCATGGGGTGTGATGGAGGCACCGAGGACACACCGACTCTGCCCGGGTCAGCGGCTCCCGGGCAGCCAAGCCTCTACAGCAGACTGGGACCAGGGCAGAGGGGCTGACAGCGAGGGGCCCAGCCTCTCCAGAGGGAAGGGCAGGGCTGGGGGGGTCGGCAGGAGCCGTGAGCCGGGGTGGGAGGGAGAACCCGGCAGGAGCAGCTGGGGGGCTCTGCCCCAGCAGCAAAGCCACCCACGGCCTCGCTGCCCCCAGCTGAACAGCTCGGCCACGCTGAACAAGTACGTGAAGAGGATCCGCCTGCCCTCCCCGCGCATCGACCTGAAACCCGGCACTGTCTGCTCCGTGATGGGCTGGGGGGACACCTCCAACTTCGGAGACCAGCCCACGGAGCTGATGGAGACCAACACCACCATCGTCAAGAGGAGCCTGTGCCGGACGCTGTGGAGGGGCAAGGTCTCGGCCAACATGCTGTGCGGGGCCAGCCGCGACACCACGCTGCGGGGAGTCTGTACCGTGAGTGCAGCGCCGCCCCCCGCCCCTCGCTGTCCCCCTCGGGGGGACCCTCAGGTCTCCCTCCCACCCCCTCATTCTGCAGGGTGACTCCGGGGGACCCCTGGTCTTCAAGGACAAGGTTCATGGCATCGTCTCCTTCTCTGGGGAGAGATGTGGGGACCGCCGCTTCCCCGATATCTACACCAAGATCTCCAACTACATTGACTGGGTGCACCGCGTTGTGCGAAGGTTCCGCCCTCGGGAGGGGGGGCTGAAGCCCTAGGGTGGCTGGGAGTGGGGAGAGGGTCTGAGATGGCTCATGGGAGGGGAAAACAGGGCCAGAACTTCCACGTCCTCCAGCCTGGAGGGGCTGGGAGCTGATGCTCAGGGCTCCTTGACCCAGGTCAGGGCAGGAGCCCCCCTCTGCCCATTGGCAAGGGGTGTTATGTACCCCCTAGGCTACACCAGAAGCCCCCCATACATCCTGCTGCTGTGACACCATTTACCTTCCTCAATAAACCCTCAGTCCCCATCCCACTGCTCCCCCTGTGTTTTGCTCCCCCTGGGCACGTGTGGCTGGAGCCGGGGGTGCAGGAGGGAGGGGAGTGCAGGCCGTGCCCCAGAGGAGCCAGGATCTGCACCCAGGTGCTGCCACCCCAGCAGCATCCCCAGCTGCCTTCCCGCCGGGCGCGGCTCCCCGTCCCGTCCCAGCCCGTCTCATCCCGTCCCGCCTCATCCTGTTCCATCCCGTCCCGCACCGCACCCCCCAAAGAGGGGGAACCACAGACACCCCTCGGGGGCAGGCGGGCTCCCGGCTGCAGGGATCCCGTCGGGAGCCTCGCCCGCCTCCCCCGCGCACCCCCGGGCGCTCGCCCCGCCGGAGCTGGGCGCCCGCAGTGGCCGGAGAGTGTGCCGAGACACGCGTGTGGCTCTGCCCGGTGTCTCCGGGGACCGACCCAGACATTCCCTGCTCCTGGCTGTTTGTTTTATCTGCAAATTGCTGGCGCAAATCGCCGCGGCTGCTGCAGGGCCTTGCGCGGGGTCGGGAGATGCCAGCCGCAGGCATCGGTGGCTTTGGGGACATGCGGCAGAGGACAGATTCCCTGCCAGGCTGCCAGCTTCCAAATAAGCCCCAAATCCCAGTGGGGATGTGACAGCGTGGGGCAGAGACCCCCTGGAATGCCGGGACAGCGCTGCCAGCCCGAGGGCATCCGCGCTGGCAGCGAGCCTGGAGAGCCGGCGCCTGTCCCGGCTTGTCCCAGACCACCCAAAAACCGGTGGGAAGGCGGCGCCTGACTCACAGCCGTGTTTTGGAAGCCGAAATCTCCCGCTCATCACAGGAGCTGCCGTTGCCGCCGCAGCCCGTGCCCGCGGGCTCGGCACGGAGCCACCCGCCAGCGCTCCGGGGCCAGAGCCTGCGGGGCCGGGCAGCACCGGGAGCTGCCCTGGGCAGGAAGCGCTGCCGGCGGCCGGGGAGGAACCCAGGCCACACACCACCGCCTGTGGTGGCACCTAGAAAGGCATGGGCAGTGCTTTGAGAACTCCCGGACACCCACCCCCAAAAGGAGGGGGATGCTGCTGAGCTGGGCCAGCAGAGAGGGGCTGCAGCAGAGCCCCCCTGGGTTATCTGAGATGTCTTTTCCAAACTAAATGGTTCCTCGATTCTCTGATGCGCTGCCGGGCTGGTGGTGGCTCTGGGGGGACTGGCCGGGGGTCGGGGGCTGTGCCACCCCCGGCACAGGGGATGCAGCCCAGGGGGATCCGGCAGCAGTTCCTGTGGAGCTCAGCACGCCAAGCCGCAGGCTGCTGCCCGGGAAACATCCCACATCGGGACCCAATTACCGGCAGGAATTGTTTTGTGAAATACCAAACCCTCATGGCACGGCCCGAGATTGGGAACAGATTTATCTGCCGAGCGGGTTGCTCTTCCCCGCTCTCCCCTTCCCTCCCACCGCACGGAGCAGCCTCGGCTGGGCTGGAAAACCCCAGCAGGGAGCTGGAGCAGAGGGGATGCAGCTCCCCACATCCCCAAAACCCTGGTGTGGATGCACAGCCACAAGGAGAACAAGGTTTCCTGCGATCCCAGAACATGCCAACAAAACCGGACACGCAGCACTGTTTTTTCTGGTTTTTAATTGTAATCCAAATCATAACACAGCCGTAAAATGCCCCAACAATATGGAATAGGGAATGTGGAT